CCCTCCGCGTGCCCGCTCCCTTGCCGCCTCTTTTGACCCTCCCTGCCCCCCTCGCCGTTTCCCCGCCCGCCATTCGCTCCTCCCCGCCCGTGCGCTCCCCTCGTTTACCTTCTCCTCCCCCCCCCCTCCTCTGCTGCACGCCTCTTCCTTCCCCTCGCCGACCCACTCACTCCCTGCCCCTCCTCAATCCGCACCCTGCCCCTCGTATCTCGCCCCCCTATGCTTGGTTTCTCCCCTCCCTGCCCCTCGCCGCCTTTCTCCCTCTCCCCACCTCCCCCCTCTCCCTGCTCCCCCACTCTCCCCCCCTTGCCCTTGGCTTCCTACCTCCCTGCCCCACCTTTCCCCCCTCCGTGTGCTCAGCTTCTCCCCTCCCCTGCCCCTCCCTCCTCCCCGCCCTGCCCCTCATTTTCCGCGCCCCCCACGCCCCGTTTTCTCCCCTCCCCGCGCCTCCCTTTCTTTCTCCGTGCCTCTCCTTTGCTCCCTCCCTGCCCCCGCCTGCCCATGCCCCTGTCTTTGGCTTCTCCCCTCCCTGCCCCACGTTTTTCTTCCCTCCCTGCCCCCCCTCTGCCCCTCCCTTGTTTTCCCCTCACCCATTGCTTCTCCCCTCCCTGCCCTTGATTTCCCGCCCCTGCCCTTGTTTCCTACCATCCATGCCCCTCGTTTCCCCCCTTTGTACGTTCAGCCTCTTCCCTCCCTGCCCCTCCCCTCCTCCCCCCCTGCCCTTTGCGTTCCCCTCGTTACGCTCCCTTCTCCCCATCCCTGCTGCCCTCTTGCCACCATCATCCCATCCGCACCACCAGCCCCCCTCCCACCCTTCTCTCCCCCCCTCCCTTTCCCTCTCTCTCTCTCTCTCTCTCTCTCTCTCTCTCTCTCTCTCTCTCTCTCTCTCTCTCTCTCACACACACACGCACACTCCCCTCCCCCACCCCCCACCCACGTCCTCCCATTCCGCCCCTCCCTGCCCCTTTCCCACCCCCTCGCACGCCCCTCACCTCCCACCTCCGTGCAACTGGTTTTCCCCCTATGGTGCCTCCCTTGCATCGCTCGCCCCGCTGCTCACCCTCTGCCCGCCCCTTTTCCGTGCCCTCAGCTGGCCCAGCCCCTGCCCGTTGCTGCCCCTCCCCTTGCCCCCTCAACTCCCCTGCCCCCCGTACACCCAGTCCCATCCAACCGCCCCACCCTCCCCCGGCTGCCCGTTTCCGCTCTCCACCCCCGCGACCGTGTGCGGCTTCCAACCGCCCAACGGTGGTGCGCACGGGGCGTTTCTTCGCACGGGCAAGCCTCCCCGGGGGCCCCCACCCCGCTGAGTCGTTGTTTGGGCAAAAAAACGAAAATAAAAAAATCGGACGCGCTAAAATCGTCCTTTCTTTTTCCCGCTTGCCCCTCCCCCGCACGTGCCGAGCAAGGGGCATAAATGGGTACAACACGAGGACTTCCCGGGAGGTCACCCAGCCCAGTACTGCTCTCGCCCACCGGCGCTTAGCTTCGGAGTTCTGATGGGATCCGGCGTAGTAGCCGAGGTATGATCGTACCACGTCAATCCCGTGCCCCGACCGGTACACCCCCTTGCCCGGGTCCCCCCTTCATAGTCACACCCCCTGCCTCCTCATGCCATCCGCTCCCCCCCGCCCCCACCCTCCGCGTGCCCGCTCCCTTGCCGCCTCTTTTGACCCTCCCTGCCCCCCTCGCCGTTTCCCCCGCCCGCCATTCGCTCCTCCCCGCCCGTGCGCTCCCCTCGTTTACCTTCTCCTCCCCCCTCCCCTCCTCTGCTGCACGCCTCTTCCTTCCCCTCGCCGACCCACTCCACTCCCTGCCCCTCCTCAATCCGCACCCTGCCCCTCGTATCTCGCCCCCCTATGCTTGGTTTCTCCCCTCCCTGCCCCTCGCCGCCTTCTCCGCTCCCCACCTCCCCCCTCTCCCTGCTCCCCCACTCTCCCCCCCTTGCCCTTGGCTTCCTACCTCCCTGCCCCACCTTTCCCCCCTCCGTGTGCTCAGCTTCTCCCCTCCCTGCCCCTCCCTCCTCCCCGCCCTGCCCCTCATTTTCCGCCCCCCCACACGCCCGGTTTCTCCCCTCCCCGCGCCTCCCTTTCTTTCTCCGTGCCTCTCCTTTGCTCCCTCCCTGCCCCCGCCTGCCCATGCCCCTGTCTTTGGCTTCTCCCCTCCCTGCCCCACGTTTCTTCCCTCCCTGCCCCCCCTCTGCCCCTCCCTTGTTTTCCCCTCACCCATTGCTTCTCCCCTCCCTGCCCTTGATTTCCCGCACCCCTGCCCTTGTTTCCTACCATCCATGCCCCTCGTTTCCCCCCTTTGTACGTTCAGCCTCTTCCCTCCCTGCCCCTCCCCTCCTCCCCCCCTGCCCTTTGCGTTCCCCTCTTACGCTCCCTTCTCCCCATCCCTGCTGCCCTCTTGCCACCATCAGCCCATCCGCACCACCACCCCCCCTCCCACCCTCTCTCCCCCCACTCCCTTTCCCTCTCTCTCTCTCTCTCTCTCTCTCTCTCTCTCTCTCTCTCTCTCTCTCTCTCTCACACACACACGCACACTCCCCTCCCCCACCCCCCACCCACGTCCTCCCATTCCGCCCCTCCCTGCCCCTTTCCCCCCCCTCGCACGCCCCTCACCTCCCACCTCCGTGCAACTGGTTTCCCCCCTATGGTGCCTCCCTTGCATCGCTCGCCCCGCTGCTCACCCCCTGCCCGCCCCTTTTTCCGTGCCCTCAGCTGGCCCAGCCCCTGCCCGTTGCTGCCCCTCCCCTTGCCCCTCAACTCCCCTGCCCCCCGTACACCCCAGTCCCATCCACCGCCCCCACCCTCCCCCGGCTGCCCGTTTCCGCTCTCCACCCCCCCCGACCGTGTGCGGCTTCCAACCGCCCAACGGTGGTGCGCACGGGGCGTTTCTTCGCACGGGCAAGCCTCCCCGGGGGGCCCCCACCCCGCTGAGTCGTTGTTTGGGCAAAAAAACGAAAATAAAAAAATCGGACGCGCTAAAATCGTCCTTTCTTTTTCCCGCTTTGCCCCTCCCCCGGCACGTGCCGAGCAAGGGGCATAAATGGTACAACACGAGGACTTCCCGGGAGGTCACCCAGCCCAGTACTGCTCTCGCCCACCGGCGCTTAGCTTCGGAGTTCTGATGGGATCCGGCGTAGTAGCCGAGGTATGATCGTACCACGTCAATCCCGTGCCCCGACCGGTACACACCCCTTGCCCGGGTCCCCCCTTCATAGTCACACCCCCTGCCTCCTCATGCCATCCGCTCCCCCCCGCCCCCACCCTCCGCGTGCCCGCTCCCTTGCCGCCTCTTTTGACCCTCCCTGCCCCCCTCGCCGTTTCCCACCGCCCGCCATTCGCTCCTCCCCGCCCGTGCGCTCCCCTCGTTTACCTTCTCCTCCCCCCTCCCCTCCTCTGCTGCACGCCTCTTCCTTCCCCTCGCCGACCCACTCCACTCCCTGCCCCTCCTCAATCCGCACCCTGCCCCTCGTATCTCGCCCCCCTATGCTTGGTTTCTCCCCTCCCTGCCCCTCGCCGCCTTTCTCCGCTCCCCACCTCCCCCCTCTCCCTGCTCCCCCACTCTCCCCCCCTTGCCTTGGCTTCCTACCTCCCTGCCCCACCTTTCCCCCCTCCGTGTGCTCAGCTTCTCCCCTCCCTGCCCCTCCCTCCTCCCCGCCCTGCCCCTCATTTTCCGCCCCCCCACGCCCGGTTTCTCCCCTCCCCGCGCCTCCCTTTCTTTCTCCGTGCCTCTCCTTTGCTCCCTCCCTGCCCCCGCCTGCCCATGCCCCTGTCTTTGGCTTCTCCCCTCCCTGCCCCACGTTTCTTCCCTCCCTGCCCCCCCTCTGCCCCTCCCTTGTTTTCCCCTCACCCATTGCTTCTCCCCTCCCTGCCCTTGATTTCCCGCACCCCTGCCCTTGTTTCCTACCATCCATGCCCCTCGTTTCCCCCCTTTGTACGTTCAGCCTCTTCCCTCCCTGCCCCTCCCCTCCTCCCCCCCTGCCCTTTGCGTTCCCCTCGTTACGCTCCCTTCTCCCCATCCCTGCTGCCCTCTTGCCACCATCAGCCCATCCGCACCACCAGCCCCCTCCCACCCCCTTCTCTCCCCCCCTCTCTCCCTCTCTCCTCTCTCTCTCTCTCTCTCTCTCTCTCTCTCTCTCTCTCTCTCTCTCTCCTCACACACACACGCACACTCCCCTCCCCCACCCCCCACCCACGTCCTCCCATTCCGCCCCTCCCTGCCCCTTTCCCACCCCCTCGCACGCCCCTCACCTCCCACCTCCGTGCAACTGGTTTCCCCCCTATGGTGCCTCCCTTGCATCGCTCGCCCCGCTGCTCACCCTCTGCCCGCCCCTTTTCCGTGCCCTCAGCTGGCCCAGCCCCTGCCCGTTGCTGCCCCTCCCCTTGCCCCCTCAACTCCCCTGCCCCCCGTACACCCCAGTCCCATCCAACCGCCCCCACCCTCCCCCGGCTGCCCGTTTCCGCTCTCCACCCCCGCGACCGTGTGCGGCTTCCAACCGCCCAACGGTGGTGCGCACGGGGCGTTTCTTCGCACGGGCAAGCCTCCCCGGGGGCCCCCACCCCGCTGAGTCGTTGTTTTGGGCAAAAAAACGAAAATAAAATAAATCGGACGCGCTAAAATCGTCCTTTCTTTTTCCCGCTTGCCCCTCCCCCGGCACGTGCCGAGCAAGGGCATAAATGGGTACAACACGAGGACTTCCCGGGAGGTCACCCAGCCCAGTACTGCTCTCGCCCACCGGCGCTTAGCTTCGGAGTTCTGATGGGATCCGGCGTAGTAGCCGAGGTATGATCGTACCACGTCAATCCCGTGCCCCGACCGGTACACACCCCTTGCCCGGGTCCCCCCTTCATAGTCACACCCCCTGCCTCCTCATGCCATCCGCTCCCCCCCCCCCCACCCTCCGCGTGCCCGCTCCCTTGCCGCCTCTTTTGACCCTCCCCTGCCCCCCTCGCCGTTTCCCACCGCCCGCCATTCGCTCCTCCCCGCCCGTGCGCTCCCCTCGTTTACCTTCTCCTCCCCCCTCCCCTCCTCTGCTGCACGCCTCTTCCTTCCCCTCGCCGACCCACTCCACTCCACTCCCTGCCCTCCTCAATCCGCACCCTGCCCCTCGTATCTCGCCCCCCTATGCTTGGTTTCTCCCCTCCCTGCCCCTCGCCGCCTTTCTCCGCTCCCCACCTCCCCCCTCTCCCTGCTCCCCCACTCTCCCCCCCTTGCCCTTGGCTTCCTACCTCCCTGCCCCACCTTTCCCCCCCTCCGTGTGCTCAGCTTCTTCCCCTCCCTGCCCCTCCCTCACTCCCCCGCCCTGCCCCTCATTTTCCGCCCCCCCACGCCCGGTTTCTCCCTCCCCCGCCCTCCCTTTCTTTCTCCGTGCCTCTCCTTTGCTCCCTCCCTGCCCCCGCCTGCCCATGCCCCTGTCTTTGTGCTTCTCCCCTCCCTGCTCCCACGTTTCTTCCCTCCCTGCCCCCCCCTCTGCCCCTTCCCTTGTTTTCCCTCACCCATTGCTTCTCTCCCTCCCTGCCCTTGATTTCCCGCACCCCTGCCCTTGTTTCCTACCATCCATGCCCCTCGTTTCCCCCCTTTGTACGTTCAGCCTCTTCCCTCCCTGCCCCTCCGCTCCTCCCCCCCCCTGCCCTTGCGTTCCCCTCGCTACGCTCCCTTCTCCCCATCCTGCTGCCCCTCAGTTGCCACCATCAGCCCATTCCGCACCACCAGCACCCCCCTCCCACCACCCTTCTTCTCCACACCCATCCCTTTCCCGTCTTCTCCTCTCTCTCTAGTCAGTCTTTCTCACAGCACACACGCAAACAACTCCCCGCCCCCAGCCCCCCACGGCCACGTCCTTCCACATTCCGCACCTCCCTGCCCCTTTCCCTACCCCCCCTCGCAACGCCCCTCACCTCCCACCTCCCGTGCAACTGGTTTCCCCCCTATGGTGCCTCCCTTGCATCGCTCGCCCCGCTGCTCACAGCCGCTGCCCGCCCCTATTTTCCGTGCCCTCAGCTGGCCCAGCCCCTGCCCGTTGCTGCCCCTCCCACTTGCCCCCTCAACTCCCCTGCCCCCGTACACCCCAGTCCCATCCCACCGCCCCCACCCTCCCCGCGGCTTGCCCGTTTCCGCTCTCCACCCCCGCGACCGTGTGCGGCTTCCAAACCGCCCAAACGGTGGTGCGCACGGGGACGGTTTTCTTTCGCTACTGGCAAGCCTCCCGGGGGGGCCCCCACCCCGCTGAGTCGTTGTCTTGGGCAAAAAAAACGAAAAATAAAAAAAATCGGGACGCGCTAAAATCGTCCTTTCTTTTTGCCCGCTGCCCCTCCCCCCGGCACGTGCCGAGCAAGGGGCATAAATGGGTACAACACGAGGACTTCCCGGTGAGGTCACCCAGCCCAGTACTCTGCTCTCGCCCACCGGCGCTTAGCTTCGGAGTTCTGATGGGTATCCGGCGTAGTAGCCGAGGTATGATCGTACACGTCAATCCTGTGCCCCGCCCGACCGGTACACACACCCCTTGCCCGGGTCCCCCCCTTCATAGTCACACCCCCTGCCTCCTCATGCCATCCGCTCCCCCCCGCCCCCACCCTCCGCGTGCCCGCTCCCTTGCCGCCTCTTTTGACCCTCCCTGCCCCCCTCGCCGTTTCCCACCGCCCGCCATTCGCTCCTCCCCGCCCGTGCGCTCCCCTCGTTTACCTTCTCCTCCCCCCTCCCCTCCTCTGCTGCACGCCTCTTCCTTCCCCTCGCCGACCCACTCCACTCCCTGCCCCTCCTCAATCCGCACCCTGCCCCTCGTATCTCGCCCCCCTATGCTTGGTTTCTCCCCTCCCTGCCCCTCGCCGCCTTTCTCCGCTCCCCACCTCCCCCCTCTCCCTGCTCCCCCACTCTCCCCCCCTTGCCCTTGGCTTCCTACCTCCCTGCCCCACCTTTCCCCCCTCCGTGTGCTCAGCTTCTCCCCTCCCTGCCCCTCCCTCCTCCCCGCCCTGCCCCTCATTTTCCGCCCCCCCACGCCCGGTTTCTCCCCTCCCCGCGCCTCCCTTTCTTTCTCCGTGCCTCTCCTTTGCTCCCTCCCTGCCCCCGCCTGCCCATGCCCCTGTCTTTGGCTTCTCCCCTCCCTGCCCCACGTTTCTTCCCTCCCTGCCCCCCCTCTGCCCCTCCCTTGTTTTCCCCTCACCCATTGCTTCTCCCCTCCCTGCCCTTGATTTCCCGCACCCCTGCCCTTGTTTCCTACCATCCATGCCCTCGTTTCCCCCCTTTGTACGTTCAGCCTCTTCCCTCCCTGCCCCTCCCCTCCTCCCCCCTGCCCTTTGCGTTCCCCTCGCTACGCTCCCTTCTCCCCATCCCTGCTGCCCTCTTGCCACCATCAGCCCATCCGCACCACCAGCCCCCCTCCCACCCTTCTCTCCCCCCCCTCCCTTTCCCTCTCTCTCTCTCTCTCCTCTCTCTCTCTCTCTCTCTTTCTCACACACACACGCACACTCCCCTCCCCCACCCCCCACCCACGTCCTCCCATTCCGCCCCTCCCTGCCCCTTTCCCACCCCCTCGCACGCCCCTCACCTCCCACCTCCGTGCAACTGGTTTCCCCCCTATGGTGCCTCCCTTGCATCGCTCGCCCCGCTGCTCACCCCTCTGCCCGCCCCTTTTCCGTGCCCTCAGCTGGCCCAGCCCCTGCCCGTTGCTGCCCCTCCCCTTGCCCCCTCAACTCCCCTGCCCCCCGTACACCCCAGTCCCATCCAACCGCCCCCACCCTCCCCCGGCTGCCCGTTTCCGCTCTCCACCCCCGCGACCGTGTGCGGCTTCCAACCGCCCAACGGTGGTGCGCACGGGGCGTTTCTTCGCACGGGCAAGCCTCCCCGGGGGGCCCCCACCCCGCTGAGTCGTTGTTTGGGCAAAAAAACGAAAATAAAAAAAAAATCGGACGCGCTAAAATCGTCCTTTTCTTTTTCCCGCTTGCCCCTCCCCCGGCACGTGCCGAGCAAGGGGCATAAATGGGTACAACACGAGGACTTTCCCGGGAGGTCACCCAGCCCAGTACTGCTCTCGCCCACCGGCGCTTAGCTTCGGAGTTCTGATGGGATCCGGCGTAGTAGCCGAGGTATGATCGTACCACGTCAATCCCGTGCCCCGACCGGTACACACCCCTTGCCCGGGTCCCCCCTTCATAGTCACACCCCCTGCCTCCTCATGCCATCCGCTCCCCCCCGCCCCCACCCTCCGCGTGCCCGCTCCCTTGCCGCCTCTTTTGACCCTCCCTGCCCCCCTCGCCGTTTCCCACCGCCCGCCATTCGCTCCTCCCCGCCCGTGCGCTCCCCCTCGTTTACCTTCTCCTCCCCCCTCCCCTCCTCTGCTGCACGCCTCTTCCTTCCCCTCGCCGACCCACTCCACTCCCTGCCCCTCCTCAATCCGCACCCTGCCCCTCGTATCTCGCCCCCCTATGCTTGGTTTCTCCCCTCCCTGCCCCTCGCCGCCTTTCTCCGCTCCCCACCTCCCCCCTCTCCCTGCTCCCCCACTCTCCCCCCCTTGCCCTTGGCTTCCTACCTCCCTGCCCCACCTTTCCCCCCTCCGTGTGCTCAGCTTCTCCCCTCCCTGCCCCTCCCTCCTCCCCGCCCTGCCCCTCATTTTCCGCCCCCCCACGCCCGGTTTCTCCCCTCCCCGCGCCTCCCTTTCTTTCTCCGTGCCTCTCCTTTGCTCCCTCCCTGCCCCCGCCTGCCCATGCCCCTGTCTTTGGCTTCTCCCCTCCCTGCCCCACGTTTCTTCCCTCCCTGCCCCCCCTCTGCCCCTCCCTTGTTTTCCCCTCACCCATTGCTTCTCCCCTCCCTGCCCTTGATTTCCCGCACCCCTGCCCTTGTTTCCTACCATCCATGCCCCTCGTTTCCCCCCTTTGTACGTTCAGCCTCTTCCCTCCCTGCCCCTCCCCTCCTCCCCCCCTGCCCTTTGCGTTCCCCTCGTTACGCTCCCTTCTCCCCATCCCTGCTGCCCTCTTGCCACCATCAGCCCATCCGCACCACCAGCCCCCCTCCCACCCTTCTCTCCCCCCCTCCCTTTCCCTCTCTCTCTCTCTCTCTCTCTCTCTCTCTCTCTCTCTCTCTCTCTTTCTCACACACACACGCACACTCCCCTCCCCCACCCCCCACCCACGTCCTCCCATTCCGCCCCTCCCTGCCCCTTTCCCACCCCCTCGCACGCCCCTCACCTCCCACCTCCGTGCAACTGGTTTCCCCCCTATGGTGCCTCCCTTGCATCGCTCGCCCCGCTGCTCACCCTCTGCCCGCCCCTTTTCCGTGCCCTCAGCTGGCCCAGCCCCTGCCCGTTGCTGCCCCTCCCCTTGCCCCCTCAACTCCCCTGCCCCCCGTACACCCCAGTCCCATCCAACCGCCCCCACCCTCCCCCGGCTGCCCGTTTCCGCTCTCCACCCCCGCGACCGTGTGCGGCTTCCAACCGCCCAACGGTGGTGCGCACGGGGCGTTTCTTCGCACGGGCAAGCCTCCCCGGGGGGCCCCCACCCCGCTGAGTCGTTGTTTGGGCAAAAAAAACGAAAATAAAAAAAATCGGACGCGCTAAAATCGTCCTTTCTTTTTCCCGCTTGCCCCTCCCCCGGCACGTGCCGAGCAAGGGGCATAAATGGGTACAACACGAGGACTTCCCGGGAGGTCACCCAGCCCAGTACTGCTCTCGCCCACCGGCGCTTAGCTTCGGAGTTCTGATGGGATCCGGCGTAGTAGCCGAGGTATGATCGTACCACGTCAATCCCGTGCCCCGACCGGTACACACCCCTTGCCCGGGTCCCCCCTTCATAGTCACACCCCCTGCCTCCTCATGCCATCCGCTCCCCCCCGCCCCCACCCTCCGCGTGCCCGCTCCCTTGCCGCCTCTTTTGACCCTCCCTGCCCCCCTCGCCGTTTCCCACCGCCCGCCATTCGCTCCTCCCCGCCCGTGCGCTCCCCTCGTTTACCTTCTCCTCCCCCCTTCCCTCCTCTGCTGCACGCCTCTTCCTTCCCCTCGCCGACCCACTCCACTCCCTGCCCCTCCTCAATCCGCACCCTGCCCCTCGTATCTCGCCCCCCTATGCTTGGTTTCTCCCCTCCCTGCCCCTCGCCGCCTTTCTCCGCTCCCCACCTCCCCCCTCTCCCTGCTCCCCCACTCTCCCCCCCTTGCCCTTGGCTTCCTACCTCCCTGCCCCACCTTTCCCCCCTCCGTGTGCTCAGCTTCTCCCCTCCCTGCCCCTCCCTCCTCCCCGCCCTGCCCCTCATTTTCCGCCCCCCCACGCCCGGTTTCTCCCCTCCCCGCGCCTCCCTTTCTTTCTCCGTGCCTCTCCTTTGCTCCCTCCCTGCCCCCGCCTGCCCATGCCCCTGTCTTTGGCTTCTCCCCTCCCTGCCCCACGTTTCTTCCCTCCCTGCCCCCCCTCTGCCCCTCCCTTGTTTTCCCCTCACCCATTGCTTCTCCCCTCCCTGCCCTTGATTTCCCGCACCCCTGCCCTTGTTTCCTACCATCCATGCCCCTCGTTTCCCCCCTTTGTACGTTCAGCCTCTTCCCTCCCTGCCCCTCCCCTCCTCCCCCCCTGCCCTTTGCGTTCCCCTCGCTACGCTCCCTTCTCCCCATCCCTGCTGCCCTCTTGCCACCATCAGCCCATCCGCACCACCAGCCCCCCTCCCACCCTTCTCTCCCCCCCTCCCTTTCCCTCTCTCTCTCTCTCTCTCTTTCTCACACACACACGCACACTCCCCTCCCCCACCCCCCACCCACGTCCTCCCATTCCGCCCCTCCCTGCCCCTTTCCCACCCCCTCGCACGCCCCTCACCTCCCACCTCCGTGCAACTGGTTTCCCCCCTATGGTGCCTCCCTTGCATCGCTCGCCCCTCTGCTCACCCTCTGCCCGCCCCTTTTCCGTGCCCTCAGCTGGCCCAGCCCCTGCCCGTTGCTGCCCCTCCCGTTGCCCGCTCAACTCCCCTGCTCCCCGTACACCCCAGTCCCATCCAACCGCCCCCACCCTCCCCCGGCTGCCCGTTTCCGCTCTCCACCCCCGCGACCGTGTGCGGCTTCCAACCGCCCAACGGTGGTGCGCACGGGGCGTTTCTTCGCACGGGCAAGCCTCCCCGGGGGGCCCCCACCCCGCTGAGTCGTTGTTTGGGCAAAAAAACGAAAATAAAAAAAACGGACGCGCTAAAATCGTCCTTTCTTTTTCCCGCTTGCCCCTCCCCCGGCACGTGCCGAGCAAGGGGCATAAATGGGTACAACACGAGGACTTCCCGGGAGGTCACCCAGCCCAGTACTGCTCTCGCCCACCGGCGCTTAGCTTCGGAGTTCTGATGGGATCCGGCGAGCCGAGGTATGATCGTACCACGTCAATCCCGTGCCCCGACCGGTACACACCCCTTGCCCGGGTCCCCCCTTCATAGTCACACCCCCTGCCTCCTCATGCCATCCGCTCCCCCCCCGCCCCCACCCTCCGCGTGCCCGCTCCCTTGCCGCCTCTTTTGACCCTCCCTGCCCCCCTCGCCGTTTCCCACCGCCCGCCATTCGCTCCTCCCCGCCCGTGCGCTCCCCTCGTTTACCTTCTCCTCCCCCCTTCCCTCCTCTGCTGCACGCCTCTTCCTTCCCCTCGCCGACCCACTCCACTCCCTGCCCCTCCTCAATCCGCACCCTGCCCCTCGTATCTCGCCCCCCTATGCTTGGTTTCTCCCCTCCCTGCCCCTCGCCGCCTTTCTCCGCTCCCCACCTCCCCCCTCTCCCTGCTCCCCCACTCTCCCCCCCTTGCCCTTGGCTTCCTACCTCCCTGCCCCACCTTTCCCCCCTCCGTGTGCTCAGCTTCTCCCCTCCCTGCCCCTCCCTCCTCCCCGCCCTGCCCCTCATTTTCCGCCCCCCCACGCCCGGTTTCTCCCCTCCCCGCGCCTCCCTTTCTTTCTCCGTGCCTCTCCTTTGCTCCCTCCCTGCCCCCGCCTGCCCATGCCCCTGTCTTTGGCTTCTCCCCTCCCTGCCCCACGTTTCTTCCCTCCCTGCCCCCCCTCTGCCCCTCCCTTGTTTTCCCCTCACCCATTGCTTCTCCCCTCCCTGCCCTTGATTTCCCGCACCCCTGCCCTTGTTTCCTACCATCCATGCCCCTCGTTTCCCCCCTTTGTACGTTCAGCCTCTTCCCTCCCTGCCCCTCCCCTCCTCCCCCCCTGCCCTTTGCGTTCCCCTCGCTACGCTCCCTTCTCCCCATCCCTGCTGCCCTCTTGCCACCATCAGCCCATCCGCACCACCAGCCCCCCTCCCACCCTTCTCTCCCCCCCTCCCTTTCCCTCTCTCTCTCTCTCTCTCTTTCTCACACACACACGCACACTCCCCTCCCCCACCCCCCACCCACGTCCTCCCATTCCGCCCCTCCCTGCCCCTTTCCCACCCCCTCGCACGCCCCTCACCTCCCACCTCCGTGCAACTGGTTTCCCCCCTATGGTGCCTCCCTTGCATCGCTCGCCCCGCTGCTCACCCTCTGCCCGCCCCTTTTCCGTGCCCTCAGCTGGCCCAGCCCCTGCCCGTTGCTGCCCCTCCCCTTGCCCCCTCAACTCCCCTGCCCCCCGTACACCCCAGTCCCATCCAACCGCCCCCACCCTCCCCCGGCTGCCCGTTTCCGCTCTCCACCCCCGCGACCGTGTGCGGCTTCCAACCGCCCAACGGTGGTGCGCACGGGGCGTTTCTTCGCACGGGCAAGCCTCCCCGGGGGGCCCCCACCCCGCTGAGTCGTTGTTTGGGCAAAAAAACGAAAATAAAAAAAAAATCGGACGCGCTAAAATCGTCCTTTCTTTTTCCCGCTTGCCCCTCCCCCGGCACGTGCCGAGCAAGGGGCATAAATGGGTACAACACGAGGACTTCCCGGGAGGTCACCCAGCCCAGTACTGCTCTCGCCCACCGGCGCTTAGCTTCGGAGTTCTGATGGGATCCGGCGTAGTAGCCGAGGTATGATCGTACCACGTCAATCCCGTGCCCCGACCGGTACACACCCCTTGCCCGGGTCCCCCCTTCATAGTCACACCCCCTGCCTCCTCATGCCATCCGCTCCCCCCCGCCCCACCCTCCGCGTGCCCGCTCCCTTGCCGCCTCTTTTGACCCTCCCTGCCCCCCTCGCCGTTTCCCACCGCCCGCCATTCGCTCCTCCCCGCCCGTGCGCTCCCCTCGTTTACCTTCTCCTCCCCCCTTCCCCTCCTCTGCTGCACGCCTCTTCCTTCCCCTCGCCGACCCACTCCACTCCCTGCCCCTCCTCAATCCGCACCCTGCCCCTCGTATCTCGCCCCCCTATGCTTGGTTTCTCCCCTCCCTGCCCCTCGCCGCCTTTCTCCGCTCCCCACCTCCCCCCTCTCCCTGCTCCCCCACTCTCCCCCCCTTGCCCTTGGCTTCCTACCTCCCTGCCCCACCTTTCCCCCCTCCGTGTGCTCAGCTTCTCCCCTCCCTGCCCCTCCCTCCTCCCCGCCCTGCCCCTCATTTTCCGCCCCCCCACGCCCGGTTTCTCCCCTCCCCGCGCCTCCCTTTCTTTCTCCGTGCCTCTCCTTTGCTCCCTCCCTGCCCCCGCCTGCCCATGCCCCTGTCTTTGGCTTCTCCCCTCCCTGCCCCACGTTTCTTCCCTCCCTGCCCCCCCTCTGCCCCTCCCTTGTTTTCCCCTCACCCATTGCTTCTCCCCTCCCTGCCCTTGATTTCCCGCACCCCTGCCCTTGTTTCCTACCATCCATGCCCCTCGTTTCCCCCCTTTGTACGTTCAGCCTCTTCCCTCCCTGCCCCTCCCCTCCTCCCCCCCTGCCCTTTGCGTTCCCCTCGCTTACGCTCCCTTCTCCCCATCCCTGCTGCCCTCTTGCCACCATCAGCCCATCCGCACCACCAGCCCCCCTCCCACCCTTCTCTCCCCCCCTCCCTTTCCCTCTCTCTCTCTCTCTCTCTCTCTCTCTCTCTCTCTCTCTCTCTCTCTTTCTCACACACACACGCACACTCCCCTCCCCCACCCCCCCACCCACGTCCTCCCATTCCGCCCCTCCCTGCCCCTTTCCCACCCCCTCGCACGCCCCTCACCTCCCACCTCCGTGCAACTGGTTTCCCCCCTATGGTGCCTCCCTTGCATCGCTCGCCCCGCTGCTCACCCTCTGCCCGCCCCTTTTCCGTGCCCTCAGCTGGCCCAGCCCCTGCCCGTTGCTGCCCCTCCCCTTGCCCCCTCAACTCCCCTGCCCCCCGTACACCCCAGTCCCATCCAACCGCCCCCACCCTCCCCCGGCTGCCCGTTTCCGCTCTCCACCCCCGCGACCGTGTGCGGCTTCCAACCGCCCAACGGTGGTGCGCACGGGGCGTTTCTTCGCACGGGCAAGCCTCCCCGGGGGGCCCCCACCCCGCTGAGTCGTTGTTTGGGCAAAAAAACGAAAATAAAAAAAATCGGACGCGCTAAAATCGTCCTTTCTTTTTCCCGCTTGCCCCTCCCCCGGCACGTGCCGAGCAAGGGGCATAAATGGGTACAACACGAGGACTTCCCGGGAGGTCACCCAGCCCAGTACTGCTCTCGCCCACCGGCGCTTAGCTTCGGAGTTCTGATGGGATCCGGCGTAGTAGCCGAGGTATGATCGTACCACGTCAATCCCGTGCCCCGACCGGTACACACCCCTTGCCCGGGTCCCCCCTTCATAGTCACACCCCCTGCCTCCTCATGCCATCCGCTCCCCCCCGCCCCCACCCTCCGCGTGCCCGCTCCCTTGCCGCCTCTTTTGACCCTCCCTGCCCCCCTCGCCGTTTCCCACCGCCCGCCATTCGCTCCTCCCCGCCCGTGCGCTCCCCTCGTTTACCTTCTCCTCCCCCCTCCCCTCCTCTGCTGCACGCCTCTTCCTTCCCCTCGCCGACCCACTCCACTCCCTGCCCCTCCTCAATCCGCACCCTGCCCCTCGTATCTCGCCCCCCTATGCTTGGTTTCTCCCCTCCCTGCCCCTCGCCGCCTTTCTCCGCTCCCCACCTCCCCCCTCTCCCTGCTCCCCCACTCTCCCCCCCTTGCCCTTGGCTTCCTACCTCCCTGCCCCACCTTTCCCCCCTCCGTGTGCTCAGCTTCTCCCCTCCCTGCCCCTCCCTCCTCCCCGCCCTGCCCCTCATTTTCCGCCCCCCCACGCCCGGTTTCTCCCCTCCCCGCGCCTCCCTTTCTTTCTCCGTGCCTCTCCTTTGCTCCCTCCCTGCCCCCGCCTGCCCATGCCCCTGTCTTTGGCTTCTCCCCTCCCTGCCCCACGTTTCTTCCCTCCCTGCCCCCCCTCTGCCCCTCCCTTGTTTTCCCCTCACCCATTGCTTCTCCCCTCCCTGCCCTTGATTTCCCGCACCCCTGCCCTTGTTTCCTACCATCCATGCCCCTCGTTTCCCCCCTTTGTACGTTCAGCCTCTTCCCTCCCTGCCCCTCCCCTCCTCCCCCCCTGCCCTTTGCGTTCCCCTCGCTACGCTCCCTTCTCCCCATCCCTGCTGCCCTCTTGCCACCATCAGCCCATCCGCACCACCAGCCCCCCTCCCACCCTTCTCTCCCCCCCTCCCTTTCCCTCTCTCTCTCTCTCTCTCTCTCTCTCTCTCTTTCTCACACACACACGCACACTCCCCTCCCCCACCCCCCACCCACGTCCTCCCATTCCGCCCCTCCCTGCCCCTTTCCCACCCCCTCGCACGCCCCTCACCTCCCACCTCCGTGCAACTGGTTTCCCCCCTATGGTGCCTCCCTTGCATCGCTCGCCCCTCTGCTCACCCTCTGCCCGCCCCTTTTCCGTGCCCTCAGCTGGCCCAGCCCCTGCCCGTTGCTGCCCCTCCCCTTGCCCCCTCAACTCCCCTGCCCCCCGTACACCCCAGTCCCATCCAACCGCCCCCACCCTCCCCCGGCTGCCCGTTTCCGCTCTCCACCCCCGCGACCGTGTGCGGCTTCCAACCGCCCAACGGTGGTGCGCACGGGGCGTTTCTTCGCACGGGCAAGCCTCCCCGGGGGGCCCCCACCCCGCTGAGTCGTTGTTTGGGCAAAAAAACGAAAATAAAAAAAAATCGGACGCGCTAAAATCGTCCTTTCTTTTTCCCGCTTGCCCCTCCCCCGGCACGTGCCGAGCAAGGGGCATAAATGGGTACAACACGAGGACTTCCCGGGAGGTCACCCAGCCCAGTACTGCTCTCGCCCACCGGCGCTTAGCTTCGGAGTTCTGATGGGATCCGGCGTAGTAGCCGAGGTATGATCGTACCACGTCAATCCCGTGCCCCGACCGGTACACACCCCTTGCCCGGGTCCCCCCTTCATAGTCACACCCCCTGCCTCCTCATGCCATCCGCTCCCCCCCGCCCCCACCCTCCGCGTGCCCGCTCCCTTGCCGCCTCTTTTGACCCTCCCTGCCCCCCTCGCCGTTTCCCACCGCCCGCCATTCGCTCCTCCCCGCCCGTGCGCTCCCCTCGTTTACCTTCTCCTCCCCCCTCCCCTCCTCTGCTGCACGCCTCTTCCTTCCCCTCGCCGACCCACTCCACTCCCTGCCCCTCCTCAATCCGCACCCTGCCCCTCGTATCTCGCCCCCCTATGCTTGGTTTCTCCCCTCCCTGCCCCTCGCCGCCTTTCTCCGCTCCCCACCTCCCCCCTCTCCCTGCTCCCCCACTCTCCCCCCCTTGCCCTTGGCTTCCTACCTCCCTGCCCCACCTTTCCCCCCTCCGTGTGCTCAGCTTCTCCCCTCCCTGCCCCTCCCTCCTCCCCGCCCTGCCCCTCATTTTCCGCCCCCCCACGCCCGGTTTCTCCCCTCCCCGCGCCTCCCTTTCTTTCTCCGTGCCTCTCCTTTGCTCCCTCCCTGCCCCCGCCTGCCCATGCCCCTGTCTTTGGCTTCTCCCCTCCCTGCCCCACGTTTCTTCCCTCCCTGCCCCCCCTCTGCCCCTCCCTTGTTTTCCCCTCACCCATTGCTTCTCCCCTCCCTGCCCTTGATTTCCCGCACCCCTGCCCTTGTTTCCTACCATCCATGCCCCTCGTTTCCCCCCTTTGTACGTTCAGCCTCTTCCCTCCCTGCCCCTCCCCTCCTCCCCCCCTGCCCTTTGCGTTCCCCTCGCTACGCTCCCTTCTCCCCATCCCTGCTGCCCTCTTGCCACCATCAGCCCATCCGCACCACCAGCCCCCCTCCCACCCTTCTCTCCCCCCCTCCCTTTCCCTCTCTCTCTCTCTCTCTCTCTCTCTCTTTCTCACACACACACGCACACTCCCCTCCCCCACCCCCCACCCACGTCCTCCCATTCCGCCCCTCCCTGCCCCTTTCCCACCCCCTCGCACGCCCCTCACCTCCCACCTCCGTGCAACTGGTTTCCCCCCTATGGTGCCTCCCTTGCATCGCTCGCCCCTCTGCTCACCCTCTGCCCGCCCCTTTTCCGTGCCCTCAGCTGGCCCAGCCCCTGCCCGTTGCTGCCCCTCCCGTTGCCCGCTCAACTCCCCTGCTCCCCGTACACCCCAGTCCCATCCAACCGCCCCCACCCTCCCCCGGCTGCCCGTTTCCGCTCTCCACCCCCGCGACCGTGTGCGGCTTCCAACCGCCCAACGGTGGTGCGCACGGGGCGTTTCTTCGCACGGGCAAGCCTCCCCGGGGGGGCCCCCACCCCGCTGAGTCGTTGTTTGGGCAAAAAAAACGAAAATAAAAAAAATCGGACGCGCTAAAATCGTCCTTTCTTTTTCCCGCTTGCCCCTCCCCCGGCACGTGCCGAGCAAGGGGCATAAATGGGTACAACACGAGGACTTCCCGGGAGGTCACCCAGCCCAGTACTGCTCTCGCCCACCGGCGCTTAGCTTCGGAGTTCTGATGGGATCCGGCGTAGTAGCCGAGGTATGATCGTACCACGTCAATCCCGTGCCCCGACCGGTACACACCCCTTGCCCGGGTCCCCCCTTCATAGTCACACCCCCTGCCTCCTCATGCCATCCGCTCCCCCCCGCCCCCACCCTCCGCGTGCCCGCTCCCTTGCCGCCTCTTTTGACCCTCCCTGCCCCCCTCGCCGTTTCCCACCGCCCGCCATTCGCTCCTCCCCGCCCGTGCGCTCCCCTCGTTTACCTTCTCCTCCCCCCTTCCCTCCTCTGCTGCACGCCTCTTCCTTCCCCTCGCCGACCCACTCCACTCCCTGCCCCTCCTCAATCCGCACCCTGCCCCTCGTATCTCGCCCCCCTATGCTTGGTTTCTCCCCTCCCTGCCCCTCGCCGCCTTTCTCCGCTCCCCACCTCCCCCCTCTCCCTGCTCCCCCACTCTCCCCCCCTTGCCCTTGGCTTCCTACCTCCCTGCCCCACCTTTCCCCCCTCCGTGTGCTCAGCTTCTCCCCTCCCTGCCCCTCCCTCCTCCCCGCCCTGCCCCTCATTTTCCGCCCCCCCACGCCCGGTTTCTCCCCTCCCCGCGCCTCCCTTTCTTTCTCCGTGCCTCTCCTTTGCTCCCTCCCTGCCCCCGCCTGCCCATGCCCCTGTCTTTGGCTTCTCCCCTCCCTGCCCCACGTTTCTTCCCTCCCTGCCCCCCCTCTGCCCCTCCCTTGTTTTCCCCTCACCCATTGCTTCTCCCCTCCCTGCCCTTGATTTCCCGCACCCCTGCCCTTGTTTCCTACCATCCATGCCCCTCGTTTCCCCCCTTTGTACGTTCAGCCTCTTCCCTCCCTGCCCCTCCCCTCCTCCCCCCCTGCCCTTTGCGTTCCCCTCGCTACGCTCCCTTCTCCCCATCCCTGCTGCCCTCTTGCCACCATCAGCCCATCCGCACCACCAGCCCCCCTCCCACCCTTCTCTCCCCCCCTCCCTTTCCCTCTCTCTCTCTCTCTCTCTCTTTCTCACACACACACGCACACTCCCCTCCCCCACCCCCCACCCACGTCCTCCCATTCCGCCCCTCCCTGCCCCTTTCCCACCCCCTCGCACGCCCCTCACCTCCCACCTCCGTGCAACTGGTTTCCCCCCTATGGTGCCTCCCTTGCATCGCTCGCCCCGCTGCTCACCCTCTGCCCGCCCCTTTTCCGTGCCCTCAGCTGGCCCAGCCCCTGCCCGTTGCTGCCCCTCCCCTTGCCCCCTCAACTCCCCTGCCCCCCGTACACCCCAGTCCCATCCAACCGCCCCCACCCTCCCCCGGCTGCCCGTTTCCGCTCTCCACCCCCGCGACCGTGTGCGGCTTCCAACCGCCCAACGGTGGTGCGCACGGGGCGTTTCTTCGCACGGGCAAGCCTCCCCGGGGGGCCCCCACCCCGCTGAGTCGTTGTTTGGGCAAAAAAACGAAAATAAAAAAAAAATCGGACGCGCTAAAATCGTCCTTTCTTTTTCCCGCTTGCCCCTCCCCCGGCACGTGCCGAGCAAGGGGCATAAATGGGTACAACACGAGGACTTCCCGGGAGGTCACCCAGCCCAGTACTGCTCTCGCCCACCGGCGCTTAGCTTCGGAGTTCTGATGGGATCCGGCGTAGTAGCCGAGGTATGATCGTACCACGTCAATCCCGTGCCCCGACCGGTACACACCCCTTGCCCGGGTCCCCCCTTCATAGTCACACCCCCTGCCTCCTCATGCCATCCGCTCCCCCCCGCCCCCACCCTCCGCGTGCCCGCTCCCTTGCCGCCTCTTTTGACCCTCCCTGCCCCCCTCGCCGTTTCCCACCGCCCGCCATTCGCTCCTCCCCGCCCGTGCGCTCCCCTCGTTTACCTTCTCCTCCCCCCTCCCCTCCTCTGCTGCACGCCTCTTCCTTCCCCTCGCCGACCCACTCCACTCCCTGCCCCTCCTCAATCCGCACCCTGCCCCTCGTATCTCGCCCCCCTATGCTTGGTTTCTCCCCTCCCTGCCCCTCGCCGCCTTTCTCCGCTCCCCACCTCCCCCCTCTCCCTGCTCCCCCACTCTCCCCCCCTTGCCCTTGGCTTCCTACCTCCCTGCCCCACCTTTCCCCCCTCCGTGTGCTCAGCTTCTCCCCTCCCTGCCCCTCCCTCCTCCCCGCCCTGCCCCTCATTTTCCGCCCCCCCACGCCCGGTTTCTCCCCTCCCCGCGCCTCCCTTTCTTTCTCCGTGCCTCTCCTTTGCTCCCTCCCTGCCCCCGCCTGCCCATGCCCCTGTCTTTGGCTTCTCCCCTCCCTGCCCCACGTTTCTTCCCTCCCTGCCCCCCCTCTGCCCCTCCCTTGTTTTCCCCTCACCCATTGCTTCTCCCCTCCCTGCCCTTGATTTCCCGCACCCCTGCCCTTGTTTCCTACCATCCATGCCCCTCGTTTCCCCCCTTTGTACGTTCAGCCTCTTCCCTCCCTGCCCCTCCCCTCCTCCCCCCCTGCCCTTTGCGTTCCCCTCGTTACGCTCCCTTCTCCCCATCCCTGCTGCCCTCTTGCCACCATCAGCCCATCCGCACCACCAGCCCCCCTCCCACCCTTCTCTCCCCCCCTCCCTTTCCCTCTCTCTCTCTCTCTCTCTCTCTCTCTCTCTTTCTCACACACACACGCACACTCCCCTCCCCCACCCCCCACCCACGTCCTCCCATTCCGCCCCTCCCTGCCCCTTTCCCACCCCCTCGCACGCCCCTCACCTCCCACCTCCGTGCAACTGGTTTCCCCCCTATGGTGCCTCCCTTGCATCGCTCGCCCCGCTGCTCACCCTCTGCCCGCCCCTTTTCCGTGCCCTCAGCTGGCCCAGCCCCTGCCCGTTGCTGCCCCTCCCCTTGCCCCCTCAACTCCCCTGCCCCCCGTACACCCCAGTCCCATCCAACCGCCCCCACCCTCCCCCGGCTGCCCGTTTCCGCTCTCCACCCCCGCGACCGTGTGCGGCTTCCAACCGCCCAACGGTGGTGCGCACGGGGCGTTTCTTCGCACGGGCAAGCCTCCCCGGGGGGCCCCCACCCCGCTGAGTCGTTGTTTGGGCAAAAAAACGAAAATAAAAAAAAATCGGACGCGCTAAAATCGTCCTTTCTTTTTCCCGCTTGCCCCTCCCCCGGCACGTGCCGAGCAAGGGGCATAAATGGGTACAACACGAGGACTTCCCGGGAGGTCACCCAGCCCAGTACTGCTCTCGCCCACCGGCGCTTAGCTTCGGAGTTCTGATGGGATCCGGCGTAGTAGCCGAGGTATGATCGTACCACGTCAATCCCGTGCCCCGACCGGTACACACCCCTTGCCCGGGTCCCCCCTTCATAGTCACACCCCCTGCCTCCTCATGCCATCCGCTCCCCCCCGCCCCCACCCTCCGCGTGCCCGCTCCCTTGCCGCCTCTTTTGACCCTCCCTGCCCCCCTCGCCGTTTCCCACCGCCCGCCATTCGCTCCTCCCCGCCCGTGCGCTCCCCTCGTTTACCTTCTCCTCCCCCCTCCCCTCCTCTGCTGCACGCCTCTTCCTTCCCCTCGCCGACCCACTCCACTCCCTGCCCCTCCTCAATCCGCACCCTGCCCCTCGTATCTCGCCCCCCTATGCTTGGTTTCTCCCCTCCCTGCCCCTCGCCGCCTTTCTCCGCTCCCCACCTCCCCCCTCTCCCTGCTCCCCCACTCTCCCCCCCTTGCCCTTGGCTTCCTACCTCCCTGCCCCACCTTTCCCCCCTCCGTGTGCTCAGCTTCTCCCCTCCCTGCCCCTCCCTCCTCCCCGCCCTGCCCCTCATTTTCCGCCCCCCCACGCCCGGTTTCTCCCCTCCCCGCGCCTCCCTTTCTTTCTCCGTGCCTCTCCTTTGCTCCCTCCCTGCCCCCGCCTGCCCATGCCCCTGTCTTTGGCTTCTCCCCTCCCTGCCCCACGTTTCTTCCCTCCCTGCCCCCCCTCTGCCCCTCCCTTGTTTTCCCCTCACCCATTGCTTCTCCCCTCCCTGCCCTTGATTTCCCGCACCCCTGCCCTTGTTTCCTACCATCCATGCCCCTCGTTTCCCCCCTTTGTACGTTCAGCCTCTTCCCTCCCTGCCCCTCCCCTCCTCCCCCCCTGCCCTTTGCGTTCCCCTCGCTTACGCTCCCTTCTCCCCATCCCTGCTGCCCTCTTGCCACCATCAGCCCATCCGCACCACCAGCCCCCCTCCCACCCTTCTCTCCCCCCCTCCCTTTCCCTCTCTCTCTCTCTCTCTCTCTCTCTCTCTCTTTCTCACACACACACGCACACTCCCCTCCCCCACCCCCCCACCCACGTCCTCCCATTCCGCCCCTCCCTGCCCCTTTCCCACCCCCTCGCACGCCCCTCACCTCCCACCTCCGTGCAACTGGTTTCCCCCCTATGGTGCCTCCCTTGCATCGCTCGCCCCGCTGCTCACCCTCTGCCCGCCCCTTTTCCGTGCCCTCAGCTGGCCCAGCCCCTGCCCGTTGCTGCCCCTCCCCTTGCCCCCTCAACTCCCCTGCCCCCCGTACACCCCAGTCCCATCCAACCGCCCCCACCCTCCCCCGGCTGCCCGTTTCCGCTCTCCACCCCCGCGACCGTGTGCGGCTTCCAACCGCCCAACGGTGGTGCGCACGGGGCGTTTCTTCGCACGGGCAAGCCTCCCCGGGGGGCCCCCACCCCGCTGAGTCGTTGTTTGGGCAAAAAAAACGAAAATAAAAAAAAAATCGGACGCGCTAAAATCGTCCTTTCTTTTTCCCGCTTGCCCCTCCCCCGGCACGTGCCGAGCAAGGGGCATAAATGGGTACAACACGAGGACTTCCCGGGAGGTCACCCAGCCCAGTACTGCTCTCGCCCACCGGCGCTTAGCTTCGGAGTTCTGATGGGATCCGGCGTAGTAGCCGAGGTATGATCGTACCACGTCAATCCCGTGCCCCGACCGGTACACACCCCTTGCCCGGGTCCCCCCTTCATAGTCACACCCCCTGCCTCCTCATGCCATCCGCTCCCCCCCGCCCCCACCCTCCGCGTGCCCGCTCCCTTGCCGCCTCTTTTGACCCTCCCTGCCCCCCTCGCCGTTTCCCACCGCCCGCCATTCGCTCCTCCCCGCCCGTGCGCTCCCCTCGTTTACCTTCTCCTCCCCCCTCCCCTCCTCTGCTGCACGCCTCTTCCTTCCCCTCGCCGACCCACTCCACTCCCTGCCCCTCCTCAATCCGCACCCTGCCCCTCGTATCTCGCCCCCCTATGCTTGGTTTCTCCCCTCCCTGCCCCTCGCCGCCTTTCTCCGCTCCCCACCTCCCCCCTCTCCCTGCTCCCCCACTCTCCCCCCCTTGCCCTTGGCTTCCTACCTCCCTGCCCCACCTTTCCCCCCTCCGTGTGCTCAGCTTCTCCCCTCCCTGCCCCTCCCTCCTCCCCGCCCTGCCCCTCATTTTCCGCCCCCCCACGCCCGGTTTCTCCCCTCCCCGCGCCTCCCTTTCTTTCTCCGTGCCTCTCCTTTGCTCCCTCCCTGCCCCCGCCTGCCCATGCCCCTGTCTTTGGCTTCTCCCCTCCCTGCCCCACGTTTCTTCCCTCCCTGCCCCCCCTCTGCCCCTCCCTTGTTTTCCCCTCACCCATTGCTTCTCCCCTCCCTGCCCTTGATTTCCCGCACCCCTGCCCTTGTTTCCTACCATCCATGCCCCTCGTTTCCCCCCTTTGTACGTTCAGCCTCTTCCCTCCCTGCCCCTCCCCTCCTCCCCCCCTGCCCTTTGCGTTCCCCTCGTTACGCTCCCTTCTCCCCATCCCTGCTGCCCTCTTGCCACCATCAGCCCATCCGCACCACCAGCCCCCCTCCCACCCTTCTCTCCCCCCCTCCCTTTCCCTCTCTCTCTCTCTCTCTCTCTCTCTCTCTTTCTCACACACACACGCACACTCCCCTCCCCCACCCCCCACCCACGTCCTCCCATTCCGCCCCTCCCTGCCCCTTTCCCACCCCCTCGCACGCCCCTCACCTCCCACCTCCGTGCAACTGGTTTCCCCCCTATGGTGCCTCCCTTGCATCGCTCGCCCCTCTGCTCACCCTCTGCCCGCCCCTTTTCCGTGCCCTCAGCTGGCCCAGCCCCTGCCCGTTGCTGCCCCTCCCCTTGCCCCCTCAACTCCCCTGCCCCCCGTACACCCCAGTCCCATCCAACCGCCCCCACCCTCCCCCGGCTGCCCGTTTCCGCTCTCCACCCCCGCGACCGTGTGCGGCTTCCAACCGCCCAACGGTGGTGCGCACGGGGCGTTTCTTCGCACGGGCAAGCCTCCCCGGGGGGCCCCCACCCCGCTGAGTCGTTGTTTGGGCAAAAAAAACGAAAATAAAAAAAATCGGACGCGCTAAAATCGTCCTTTCTTTTTCCCGCTTGCCCCTCCCCCGGCACGTGCCGAGCAAGGGGCATAAATGGGTACAACACGAGGACTTCCCGGGAGGTCACCCAGCCCAGTACTGCTCTCGCCCACCGGCGCTTAGCTTCGGAGTTCTGATGGGATCCGGCGTAGTAGCCGAGGTATGATCGTACCACGTCAATCCCGTGCCCCGACCGGTACACACCCCTTGCCCGGGTCCCCCCTTCATAGTCACACCCCCTGCCTCCTCATGCCATCCGCTCCCCCCCGCCCCCACCCTCCGCGTGCCCGCTCCCTTGCCGCCTCTTTTGACCCTCCCTGCCCCCCTCGCCGTTTCCCACCGCCCGCCATTCGCTCCTCCCCGCCCGTGCGCTCCCCTCGTTTACCTTCTCCTCCCCCCTCCCCTCCTCTGCTGCACGCCTCTTCCTTCCCCTCGCCGACCCACTCCACTCCCTGCCCCTCCTCAATCCGCACCCTGCCCCTCGTATCTCGCCCCCCTATGCTTGGTTTCTCCCCTCCCTGCCCCTCGCCGCCTTTCTCCGCTCCCCACCTCCCCCCTCTCCCTGCTCCCCCACTCTCCCCCCCTTGCCCTTGGCTTCCTACCTCCCTGCCCCACCTTTCCCCCCTCCGTGTGCTCAGCTTCTCCCCTCCCTGCCCCTCCCTCCTCCCCGCCCTGCCCCTCATTTTCCGCCCCCCCACGCCCGGTTTCTCCCCTCCCCGCGCCTCCCTTTCTTTCTCCGTGCCTCTCCTTTGCTCCCTCCCTGCCCCCGCCTGCCCATGCCCCTGTCTTTGGCTTCTCCCCTCCCTGCCCCACGTTTCTTCCCTCCCTGCCCCCCCTCTGCCCCTCCCTTGTTTTCCCCTCACCCATTGCTTCTCCCCTCCCTGCCCTTGATTTCCCGCACCCCTGCCCTTGTTTCCTACCATCCATGCCCCTCGTTTCCCCCCTTTGTACGTTCAGCCTCTTCCCTCCCTGCCCCTCCCCTCCTCCCCCCCTGCCCTTTGCGTTCCCCTCGCTACGCTCCCTTCTCCCCATCCCTGCTGCCCTCTTGCCACCATCAGCCCATCCGCACCACCAGCCCCCCTCCCACCCTTCTCTCCCCCCTCCCTTCCCTCTCTCCTCTCTCTCTCTCTCTCTCTCTCTTTCTCACACACACACGCACACTCCCCTCCCCCACCCCCCACCCACGTCCTCCCATTCCGCCCCTCCCTGCCCCTTTCCCACCCCCTCGCACGCCCCTCACCTCCCACCTCCGTGCAACTGGTTTCCCCCCTATGGTGCCTCCCTTGCATCGCTCGCCCCTCTGCTCACCCTCTGCCCGCCCCTTTTCCGTGCCCTCAGCTGGCCCAGCCCCTGCCCGTTGCTGCCCCTCCCCTTGCCCCCTCAACTCCCCTGCCCCCCGTACACCCCAGTCCCATCCAACCGCCCCCACCCTCCCCCGGCTGCCCGTTTCCGCTCTCCACCCCCGCGACCGTGTGCGGCTTCCAACCGCCCAACGGTGGTGCGCACGGGGCGTTTCTTCGCACGGGCAAGCCTCCCCGGGGGGCCCCCACCCCGCTGAGTCGTTGTTTGGGCAAAAAAACGAAAATAAAAAAAAAATCGGACGCGCTAAAATCGTCCTTTCTTTTTCCCGCTTGCCCCTCCCCCGGCACGTGCCGAGCAAGGGGCATAAATGGGTACAACACGAGGACTTCCCGGGAGGTCACCCAGCCCAGTACTGCTCTCGCCCACCGGCGCTTAGCTTCGGAGTTCTGATGGGATCCGGCGTAGTAGCCGAGGTATGATCGTACCACGTCAATCCCGTGCCCCGACCGGTACACACCCCTTGCCCGGGTCCCCCCTTCATAGTCACACCCCCTGCCTCCTCATGCCATCCGCTCCCCCCCGCCCCCACCCTCCGCGTGCCCGCTCCCTTGCCGCCTCTTTTGACCCTCCCTGCCCCCCTCGCCGTTTCCCACCGCCCGCCATTCGCTCCTCCCCGCCCGTGCGCTCCCCTCGTTTACCTTCTCCTCCCCCCTCCCCTCCTCTGCTGCACGCCTCTTCCTTCCCCTCGCCGACCCACTCCACTCCCTGCCCCTCCTCAATCCGCACCCTGCCCCTCGTATCTCGCCCCCCTATGCTTGGTTTCTCCCCTCCCTGCCCCTCGCCGCCTTTCTCCGCTCCCCACCTCCCCCCTCTCCCTGCTCCCCCACTCTCCCCCCCTTGCCCTTGGCTTCCTACCTCCCTGCCCCACCTTTCCCCCCTCCGTGTGCTCAGCTTCTCCCCTCCCTGCCCCTCCCTCCTCCCCGCCCTGCCCCTCATTTTCCGCCCCCCCACGCCCGGTTTCTCCCCTCCCCGCGCCTCCCTTTCTTTCTCCGTGCCTCTCCTTTGCTCCCTCCCTGCCCCCGCCTGCCCATGCCCCTGTCTTTGGCTTCTCCCCTCCCTGCCCCACGTTTCTTCCCTCCCTGCCCCCCCTCTGCCCCTCCCTTGTTTTCCCCTCACCCATTGCTTCTCCCCTCCCTGCCCTTGATTTCCCGCACCCCTGCCCTTGTTTCCTACCATCCATGCCCCTCGTTTCCCCCCTTTGTACGTTCAGCCTCTTCCCTCCCTGCCCCTCCCCTCCTCCCCCCCTGCCCTTTGCGTTCCCCTCGTTACGCTCCCTTCTCCCCATCCCTGCTGCCCTCTTGCCACCATCAGCCCATCCGCACCACCAGCCCCCCTCCCACCCTTCTCTCCCCCCCTCCCTTTCCCTCTCTCTCTCTCTCTCTCTCTCTCTCTCTCTTTCTCACACACACACGCACACTCCCCTCCCCCACCCCCCACCCACGTCCTCCCATTCCGCCCCTCCCTGCCCCTTTCCCACCCCCTCGCACGCCCCTCACCTCCCACCTCCGTGCAACTGGTTTCCCCCCTATGGTGCCTCCCTTGCATCGCTCGCCCCGCTGCTCACCCTCTGCCCGCCCCTTTTCCGTGCCCTCAGCTGGCCCAGCCCCTGCCCGTTGCTGCCCCTCCCCTTGCCCCCTCAACTCCCCTGCCCCCCGTACACCCCAGTCCCATCCAACCGCCCCCACCCTCCCCCGGCTGCCCGTTTCCGCTCTCCACCCCCGCGACCGTGTGCGGCTTCCAACCGCCCAACGGTGGTGCGCACGGGGCGTTTCTTCGCACGGGCAAGCCTCCCCGGGGGGCCCCCACCCCGCTGAGTCGTTGTTTGGGCAAAAAAACGAAAATAAAAAAAAATCGGACGCGCTAAAATCGTCCTTTCTTTTTCCCGCTTGCCCCTCCCCCGGCACGTGCCGAGCAAGGGGCATAAATGGGTACAACACGAGGACTTCCCGGGAGGTCACCCAGCCCAGTACTGCTCTCGCCCACCGGCGCTTAGCTTCGGAGTTCTGATGGGATCCGGCGTAGTAGCCGAGGTATGATCGTACCACGTCAATCCCGTGCCCCGACCGGTACACACCCCTTGCCCGGGTCCCCCCTTCATAGTCACACCCCCTGCCTCCTCATGCCATCCGCTCCCCCCCCGCCCCCACCCTCCGCGTGCCCGCTCCCTTGCCGCCTCTTTTGACCCTCCCTGCCCCCCTCGCCGTTTCCCACCGCCCGCCATTCGCTCCTCCCCGCCCGTGCGCTCCCCTCGTTTACCTTCTCCTCCCCCCTCCCCTCCTCTGCTGCACGCCTCTTCCTTCCCCTCGCCGACCCACTCCACTCCCTGCCCCTCCTCAATCCGCACCCTGCCCCTCGTATCTCGCCCCCCTATGCTTGGTTTCTCCCCTCCCTGCCCCTCGCCGCCTTTCTCCGCTCCCCACCTCCCCCCTCTCCCTGCTCCCCCACTCTCCCCCCCTTGCCCTTGGCTTCCTACCTCCCTGCCCCACCTTTCCCCCCTCCGTGTGCTCAGCTTCTCCCCTCCCTGCCCCTCCCTCCTCCCCGCCCTGCCCCTCATTTTCCGCCCCCCCACGCCCGGTTTCTCCCCTCCCCGCGCCTCCCTTTCTTTCTCCGTGCCTCTCCTTTGCTCCCTCCCTGCCCCCGCCTGCCCATGCCCCTGTCTTTGGCTTCTCCCCTCCCTGCCCCACGTTTCTTCCCTCCCTGCCCCCCCTCTGCCCCTCCCTTGTTTTCCCCTCACCCATTGCTTCTCCCCTCCCTGCCCTTGATTTCCCGCACCCCTGCCCTTGTTTCCTACCATCCATGCCCCTCGTTTCCCCCCTTTGTACGTTCAGCCTCTTCCCTCCCTGCCCCTCCCCTCCTCCCCCCCTGCCCTTTGCGTTCCCCTCGTTACGCTCCCTTCTCCCCATCCCTGCTGCCCTCTTGCCACCATCAGCCCATCCGCACCACCAGCCCCCCTCCCACCCTTCTCTCCCCCCTCCCTTTCCCTCTCTCTCTCTCTCTCTCTCTCTCTCTCTCTCTCTTTCTCACACACACACGCACACTCCCCTCCCCCACCCCCCACCCACGTCCTCCCATTCCGCCCCTCCCTGCCCCTTTCCCACCCCCTCGCACGCCCCTCACCTCCCACCTCCGTGCAACTGGTTTCCCCCCTATGGTGCCTCCCTTGCATCGCTCGCCCCGCTGCTCACCCTCTGCCCGCCCCTTTTCCGTGCCCTCAGCTGGCCCAGCCCCTGCCCGTTGCTGCCCCTCCCCTTGCCCCCTCAACTCCCCTGCCCCCCGTACACCCCAGTCCCATCCAACCGCCCCCACCCTCCCCCGGCTGCCCGTTTCCGCTCTCCACCCCCGCGACCGTGTGCGGCTTCCAACCGCCCAACGGTGGTGCGCACGGGGCGTTTCTTCGCACGGGCAAGCCTCCCCGGGGGGCCCCCACCCCGCTGAGTCGTTGTTTGGGCAAAAAAAACGAAAATAAAAAAAATCGGACGCGCTAAAATCGTCCTTTCTTTTTCCCGCTTGCCCCTCCCCCGGCACGTGCCGAGCAAGGGGCATAAATGGGTACAACACGAGGACTTCCCGGGAGGTCACCCAGCCCAGTACTGCTCTCGCCCACCGGCGCTTAGCTTCGGAGTTCTGATGGGATCCGGCGTAGTAGCCGAGGTATGATCGTACCACGTCAATCCCGTGCCCCGACCGGTACACACCCCTTGCCCGGGTCCCCCCTTCATAGTCACACCCCCTGCCTCCTCATGCCATCCGCTCCCCCCCGCCCCCACCCTCCGCGTGCCCGCTCCCTTGCCGCCTCTTTTGACCCTCCCTGCCCCCCTCGCCGTTTCCCACCGCCCGCCATTCGCTCCTCCCCGCCCGTGCGCTCCCCTCGTTTACCTTCTCCTCCCCCCTTCCCCTCCTCTGCTGCACGCCTCTTCCTTCCCCTCGCCGACCCACTCCACTCCCTGCCCCTCCTCAATCCGCACCCTGCCCCTCGTATCTCGCCCCCCTATGCTTGGTTTCTCCCCTCCCTGCCCCTCGCCGCCTTTCTCCGCTCCCCACCTCCCCCCTCTCCCTGCTCCCCCACTCTCCCCCCCTTGCCCTTGGCTTCCTACCTCCCTGCCCCACCTTTCCCCCCTCCGTGTGCTCAGCTTCTCCCCTCCCTGCCCCTCCCTCCTCCCCGCCCTGCCCCTCATTTTCCGCCCCCCCACGCCCGGTTTCTCCCCTCCCCGCGCCTCCCTTTCTTTCTCCGTGCCTCTCCTTTGCTCCCTCCCTGCCCCCGCCTGCCCATGCCCCTGTCTTTGGCTTCTCCCCTCCCTGCCCCACGTTTCTTCCCTCCCTGCCCCCCCTCTGCCCCTCCCTTGTTTTCCCCTCACCCATTGCTTCTCCCCTCCCTGCCCTTGATTTCCCGCACCCCTGCCCTTGTTTCCTACCATCCATGCCCCTCGTTTCCCCCCTTTGTACGTTCAGCCTCTTCCCTCCCTGCCCCTCCCCTCCTCCCCCCCTGCCCTTTGCGTTCCCCTCGCTACGCTCCCTTCTCCCCATCCCTGCTGCCCTCTTGCCACCATCAGCCCATCCGCACCACCAGCCCCCCTCCCACCCTTCTCTCCCCCCCTCCCTTTCCCTCTCTCTCTCTCTCTCTCTCTTTCTCACACACACACGCACACTCCCCTCCCCCACCCCCCACCCACGTCCTCCCATTCCGCCCCTCCCTGCCCCTTTCCCACCCCCTCGCACGCCCCTCACCTCCCACCTCCGTGCAACTGGTTTCCCCCCTATGGTGCCTCCCTTGCATCGCTCGCCCCGCTGCTCACCCTCTGCCCGCCCCTTTTCCGTGCCCTCAGCTGGCCCAGCCCCTGCCCGTTGCTGCCCCTCCCGTTGCCCCCTCAACTCCCCTGCTCCCCGTACACCCCAGTCCCATCCAACCGCCCCCACCCTCCCCCGGCTGCCCGTTTCCGCTCTCCACCCCCGCGACCGTGTGCGGCTTCCAACCGCCCAACGGTGGTGCGCACGGGGCGTTTCTTCGCACGGGCAAGCCTCCCCGGGGGGCCCCCACCCCGCTGAGTCGTTGTTTGGGCAAAAAAAACGAAAATAAAAAAAATCGGACGCGCTAAAATCGTCCTTTCTTTTTCCCGCTTGCCCCTCCCCCGGCACGTGCCGAGCAAGGGGCATAAATGGGTACAACACGAGGACTTCCCGGGAGGTCACCCAGCCCAGTACTGCTCTCGCCCACCGGCGCTTAGCTTCGGAGTTCTGATGGGATCCGGCGAGCCGAGGTATGATCGTACCACGTCAATCCCGTGCCCCGACCGGTACACACCCCTTGCCCGGGTCCCCCCTTCATAGTCACACCCCCTGCCTCCTCATGCCATCCGCTCCCCCCCGCCCCCACCCTCCGCGTGCCCGCTCCCTTGCCGCCTCTTTTGACCCTCCCTGCCCCCCTCGCCGTTTCCCACCGCCCGCCATTCGCTCCTCCCCGCCCGTGCGCTCCCCTCGTTTACCTTCTCCTCCCCCCTTCCCTCCTCTGCTGCACGCCTCTTCCTTCCCCTCGCCGACCCACTCCACTCCCTGCCCCTCCTCAATCCGCACCCTGCCCCTCGTATCTCGCCCCCCTATGCTTGGTTTCTCCCCTCCCTGCCCCTCGCCGCCTTTCTCCGCTCCCCACCTCCCCCCTCTCCCTGCTCCCCCACTCTCCCCCCCTTGCCCTTGGCTTCCTACCTCCCTGCCCCACCTTTCCCCCCTCCGTGTGCTCAGCTTCTCCCCTCCCTGCCCCTCCCTCCTCCCCGCCCTGCCCCTCATTTTCCGCCCCCCCACGCCCGGTTTCTCCCCTCCCCGCGCCTCCCTTTCTTTCTCCGTGCCTCTCCTTTGCTCCCTCCCTGCCCCCGCCTGCCCATGCCCCTGTCTTTGGCTTCTCCCCTCCCTGCCCCACGTTTCTTCCCTCCCTGCCCCCCCTCTGCCCCTCCCTTGTTTTCCCCTCACCCATTGCTTCTCCCCTCCCTGCCCTTGATTTCCCGCACCCCTGCCCTTGTTTCCTACCATCCATGCCCCTCGTTTCCCCCCTTTGTACGTTCAGCCTCTTCCCTCCCTGCCCCTCCCCTCCTCCCCCCCTGCCCTTTGCGTTCCCCTCGCTACGCTCCCTTCTCCCCATCCCTGCTGCCCTCTTGCCACCATCAGCCCATCCGCACCACCAGCCCCCCTCCCACCCTTCTCTCCCCCCCTCCCTTTCCCTCTCTCTCTCTCTCTCTCTCTTTCTCACACACACACGCACACTCCCCTCCCCCACCCCCCACCCACGTCCTCCCATTCCGCCCCTCCCTGCCCCTTTCCCACCCCCTCGCACGCCCCTCACCTCCCACCTCCGTGCAACTGGTTTCCCCCCTATGGTGCCTCCCTTGCATCGCTCGCCCCGCTGCTCACCCTCTGCCCGCCCCTTTTCCGTGCCCTCAGCTGGCCCAGCCCCTGCCCGTTGCTGCCCCTCCCCTTGCCCCCTCAACTCCCCTGCCCCCCGTACACCCCAGTCCCATCCAACCGCCCCCACCCTCCCCCGGCTGCCCGTTTCCGCTCTCCACCCCCGCGACCGTGTGCGGCTTCCAACCGCCCAACGGTGGTGCGCACGGGGCGTTTCTTCGCACGGGCAAGCCTCCCCGGGGGGCCCCCACCCCGCTGAGTCGTTGTTTGGGCAAAAAAACGAAAATAAAAAAAAAATCGGACGCGCTAAAATCGTCCTTTCTTTTTCCCGCTTGCCCCTCCCCCGGCACGTGCCGAGCAAGGGGCATAAATGGGTACAACACGAGGACTTCCCGGGAGGTCACCCAGCCCAGTACTGCTCTCGCCCACCGGCGCTTAGCTTCGGAGTTCTGATGGGATCCGGCGTAGTAGCCGAGGTATGATCGTACCACGTCAATCCCGTGCCCCGACCGGTACACACCCCTTGCCCGGGTCCCCCCTTCATAGTCACACCCCCTGCCTCCTCATGCCATCCGCTCCCCCCCGCCCCCACCCTCCGCGTGCCCGCTCCCTTGCCGCCTCTTTTGACCCTCCCTGCCCCCCTCGCCGTTTCCCACCGCCCGCCATTCGCTCCTCCCCGCCCGTGCGCTCCCCTCGTTTACCTTCTCCTCCCCCCTCCCCTCCTCTGCTGCACGCCTCTTCCTTCCCCTCGCCGACCCACTCCACTCCCTGCCCCTCCTCAATCCGCACCCTGCCCCTCGTATCTCGCCCCCCTATGCTTGGTTTCTCCCCTCCCTGCCCCTCGCCGCCTTTCTCCGCTCCCCACCTCCCCCCTCTCCCTGCTCCCCCACTCTCCCCCCCTTGCCCTTGGCTTCCTACCTCCCTGCCCCACCTTTCCCCCCTCCGTGTGCTCAGCTTCTCCCCTCCCTGCCCCTCCCTCCTCCCCGCCCTGCCCCTCATTTTCCGCCCCCCCACGCCCGGTTTCTCCCCTCCCCGCGCCTCCCTTTCTTTCTCCGTGCCTCTCCTTTGCTCCCTCCCTGCCCCCGCCTGCCCATGCCCCTGTCTTTGGCTTCTCCCCTCCCTGCCCCACGTTTCTTCCCTCCCTGCCCCCCCTCTGCCCCTCCCTTGTTTTCCCCTCACCCATTGCTTCTCCCCTCCCTGCCCTTGATTTCCCGCACCCCTGCCCTTGTTTCCTACCATCCATGCCCCTCGTTTCCCCCCTTTGTACGTTCAGCCTCTTCCCTCCCTGCCCCTCCCCTCCTCCCCCCCTGCCCTTTGCGTTCCCCTCGTTACGCTCCCTTCTCCCCATCCCTGCTGCCCTCTTGCCACCATCAGCCCATCCGCACCACCAGCCCCCCTCCCACCCTTCTCTCCCCCCCTCCCTTCCCTCTCTCTCTCTCTCTCTCTCTCTCTCTCTCTCTCTCTCTCTCTCTCTCTTTCTCACACACACACGCACACTCCCCTCCCCCACCCCCCACCCACGTCCTCCCATTCCGCCCCTCCCTGCCCCTTTCCCACCCCCTCGCACGCCCCTCACCTCCCACCTCCGTGCAACTGGTTTCCCCCCTATGGTGCCTCCCTTGCATCGCTCGCCCCGCTGCTCACCCTCTGCCCGCCCCTTTTCCGTGCCCTCAGCTGGCCCAGCCCCTGCCCGTTGCTGCCCCTCCCCTTGCCCCCTCAACTCCCCTGCCCCCCGTACACCCCAGTCCCATCCAACCGCCCCCACCCTCCCCCGGCTGCCCGTTTCCGCTCTCCACCCCCGCGACCGTGTGCGGCTTCCAACCGCCCAACGGTGGTGCGCACGGGGCGTTTCTTCGCACGGGCAAGCCTCCCCGGGGGGCCCCCACCCCGCTGAGTCGTTGTTTGGGCAAAAAAAACGAAAATAAAAAAAAATCGGACGCGCTAAAATCGTCCTTTCTTTTTCCCGCTTGCCCCTCCCCCGGCACGTGCCGAGCAAGGGGCATAAATGGGTACAACACGAGGACTTCCCGGGAGGTCACCCAGCCCAGTACTGCTCTCGCCCACCGGCGCTTAGCTTCGGAGTTCTGATGGGATCCGGCGTAGTAGCCGAGGTATGATCGTACCACGTCAATCCCGTGCCCCGACCGGTACACACCCCTTGCCCGGGTCCCCCCTTCATAGTCACACCCCCTGCCTCCTCATGCCATCCGCTCCCCCCCGCCCCCACCCTCCGCGTGCCCGCTCCCTTGCCGCCTCTTTTGACCCTCCCTGCCCCCCTCGCCGTTTCCCACCGCCCGCCATTCGCTCCTCCCCGCCCGTGCGCTCCCCTCGTTTACCTTCTCCTCCCCCCTCCCCTCCTCTGCTGCACGCCTCTTCCTTCCCCTCGCCGACCCACTCCACTCCCTGCCCCTCCTCAATCCGCACCCTGCCCCTCGTATCTCGCCCCCCTATGCTTGGTTTCTCCCCTCCCTGCCCCTCGCCGCCTTTCTCCGCTCCCCACCTCCCCCCTCTCCCTGCTCCCCCACTCTCCCCCCCTTGCCCTTGGCTTCCTACCTCCCTGCCCCACCTTTCCCCCCTCCGTGTGCTCAGCTTCTCCCCTCCCTGCCCCTCCCTCCTCCCCGCCCTGCCCCTCATTTTCCGCCCCCCCACGCCCGGTTTCTCCCCTCCCCGCGCCTCCCTTTCTTTCTCCGTGCCTCTCCTTTGCTCCCTCCCTGCCCCCGCCTGCCCATGCCCCTGTCTTTGGCTTCTCCCCTCCCTGCCCCACGTTTCTTCCCTCCCTGCCCCCCCTCTGCCCCTCCCTTGTTTTCCCCTCACCCATTGCTTCTCCCCTCCCTGCCCTTGATTTCCCGCACCCCTGCCCTTGTTTCCTACCATCCATGCCCCTCGTTTCCCCCCTTTGTACGTTCAGCCTCTTCCCTCCCTGCCCCTCCCCTCCTCCCCCCCTGCCCTTTGCGTTCCCCTCGCTACGCTCCCTTCTCCCCATCCCTGCTGCCCTCTTGCCACCATCAGCCCATCCGCACCACCAGCCCCCCTCCCACCCTTCTCTCCCCCCCTCCCTTTCCCTCTCTCTCTCTCTCTCTCTCTCTCTCTCTCTCTTTCTCACACACACACGCACACTCCCCTCCCCCACCCCCCACCCACGTCCTCCCATTCCGCCCCTCCCTGCCCCTTTCCCACCCCCTCGCACGCCCCTCACCTCCCACCTCCGTGCAACTGGTTTCCCCCCTATGGTGCCTCCCTTGCATCGCTCGCCCCGCTGCTCACCCTCTGCCCGCCCCTTTTCCGTGCCCTCAGCTGGCCCAGCCCCTGCCCGTTGCTGCCCCTCCCCTTGCCCCCTCAACTCCCCTGCCCCCCGTACACCCCAGTCCCATCCAACCGCCCCCACCCTCCCCCGGCTGCCCGTTTCCGCTCTCCACCCCCGCGACCGTGTGCGGCTTCCAACCGCCCAACGGTGGTGCGCACGGGGCGTTTCTTCGCACGGGCAAGCCTCCCCGGGGGGCCCCCACCCCGCTGAGTCGTTGTTTGGGCAAAAAAACGAAAATAAAAAAAAATCGGACGCGCTAAAATCGTCCTTTCTTTTTCCCGCTTGCCCCTCCCCCGGCACGTGCCGAGCAAGGGGCATAAATGGGTACAACACGAGGACTTCCCGGGAGGTCACCCAGCCCAGTACTGCTCTCGCCCACCGGCGCTTAGCTTCGGAGTTCTGATGGGATCCGGCGTAGTAGCCGAGGTATGATCGTACCACGTCAATCCCGTGCCCCGACCGGTACACACCCCTTGCCCGGGTCCCCCCTTCATAGTCACACCCCCTGCCTCCTCATGCCATCCGCTCCCCCCCGCCCCCACCCTCCGCGTGCCCGCTCCCTTGCCGCCTCTTTTGACCCTCCCTGCCCCCCTCGCCGTTTCCCACCGCCCGCCATTCGCTCCTCCCCGCCCGTGCGCTCCCCTCGTTTACCTTCTCCTCCCCCCTCCCCTCCTCTGCTGCACGCCTCTTCCTTCCCCTCGCCGACCCACTCCACTCCCTGCCCCTCCTCAATCCGCACCCTGCCCCTCGTATCTCGCCCCCCTATGCTTGGTTTCTCCCCTCCCTGCCCCTCGCCGCCTTTCTCCGCTCCCCACCTCCCCCCTCTCCCTGCTCCCCCACTCTCCCCCCCTTGCCCTTGGCTTCCTACCTCCCTGCCCCACCTTTCCCCCCTCCGTGTGCTCAGCTTCTCCCCTCCCTGCCCCTCCCTCCTCCCCGCCCTGCCCCTCATTTTCCGCCCCCCCACGCCCGGTTTCTCCCCTCCCCGCGCCTCCCTTTCTTTCTCCGTGCCTCTCCTTTGCTCCCTCCCTGCCCCCGCCTGCCCATGCCCCTGTCTTTGGCTTCTCCCCTCCCTGCCCCACGTTTCTTCCCTCCCTGCCCCCCCTCTGCCCCTCCCTTGTTTTCCCCTCACCCATTGCTTCTCCCCTCCCTGCCCTTGATTTCCCGCACCCCTGCCCTTGTTTCCTACCATCCATGCCCCTCGTTTCCCCCCTTTGTACGTTCAGCCTCTTCCCTCCCTGCCCCTCCCCTCCTCCCCCCCTGCCCTTTGCGTTCCCCTCGTTACGCTCCCTTCTCCCCATCCCTGCTGCCCTCTTGCCACCATCAGCCCATCCGCACCACCAGCCCCCCTCCCACCCTTCTCTCCCCCCCTCCCTTTCCCTCTCTCTCTCTCTCTCTCTCTCTCTCTCTCTTTCTCACACACACACGCACACTCCCCTCCCCCACCCCCCACCCACGTCCTCCCATTCCGCCCCTCCCTGCCCCTTTCCCACCCCCTCGCACGCCCCTCACCTCCCACCTCCGTGCAACTGGTTTCCCCCCTATGGTGCCTCCCTTGCATCGCTCGCCCCGCTGCTCACCCTCTGCCCGCCCCTTTTCCGTGCCCTCAGCTGGCCCAGCCCCTGCCCGTTGCTGCCCCTCCCCTTGCCCCCTCAACTCCCCTGCCCCCCGTACACCCCAGTCCCATCCAACCGCCCCCACCCTCCCCCGGCTGCCCGTTTCCGCTCTCCACCCCCGCGACCGTGTGCGGCTTCCAACCGCCCAACGGTGGTGCGCACGGGGCGTTTCTTCGCACGGGCAAGCCTCCCCGGGGGGCCCCCACCCCGCTGAGTCGTTGTTTGGGCAAAAAAACGAAAATAAAAAAAAATCGGACGCGCTAAAATCGTCCTTTCTTTTTCCCGCTTGCCCCTCCCCCGGCACGTGCCGAGCAAGGGGCATAAATGGGTACAACACGAGGACTTCCCGGGAGGTCACCCAGCCCAGTACTGCTCTCGCCCACCGGCGCTTAGCTTCGGAGTTCTGATGGGATCCGGCGTAGTAGCCGAGGTATGATCGTACCACGTCAATCCCGTGCCCCGACCGGTACACACCCCTTGCCCGGGTCCCCCCTTCATAGTCACACCCCCTGCCTCCTCATGCCATCCGCTCCCCCCCGCCCCCACCCTCCGCGTGCCCGCTCCCTTGCCGCCTCTTTTGACCCTCCCTGCCCCCCTCGCCGTTTCCCACCGCCCGCCATTCGCTCCTCCCCGCCCGTGCGCTCCCCTCGTTTACCTTCTCCTCCCCCCTCCCCTCCTCTGCTGCACGCCTCTTCCTTCCCCTCGCCGACCCACTCCACTCCCTGCCCCTCCTCAATCCGCACCCTGCCCCTCGTATCTCGCCCCCCTATGCTTGGTTTCTCCCCTCCCTGCCCCTCGCCGCCTTTCTCCGCTCCCCACCTCCCCCCTCTCCCTGCTCCCCCACTCTCCCCCCCTTGCCCTTGGCTTCCTACCTCCCTGCCCCACCTTTCCCCCCTCCGTGTGCTCAGCTTCTCCCCTCCCTGCCCCTCCCTCCTCCCCGCCCTGCCCCTCATTTTCCGCCCCCCCACGCCCGGTTTCTCCCCTCCCCGCGCCTCCCTTTCTTTCTCCGTGCCTCTCCTTTGCTCCCTCCCTGCCCCCGCCTGCCCATGCCCCTGTCTTTGGCTTCTCCCCTCCCTGCCCCACGTTTCTTCCCTCCCTGCCCCCCCTCTGCCCCTCCCTTGTTTTCCCCTCACCCATTGCTTCTCCCCTCCCTGCCCTTGATTTCCCGCACCCCTGCCCTTGTTTCCTACCATCCATGCCCCTCGTTTCCCCCCTTTGTACGTTCAGCCTCTTCCCTCCCTGCCCCTCCCCTCCTCCCCCCCTGCCCTTTGCGTTCCCCTCGCTACGCTCCCTTCTCCCCATCCCTGCTGCCCTCTTGCCACCATCAGCCCATCCGCACCACCAGCCCCCCTCCCACCCTTCTCTCCCCCCCTCCCTTTCCCTCTCTCTCTCTCTCTCTCTCTCTCTCTCTTTCTCACACACACACGCACACTCCCCTCCCCCACCCCCCACCCACGTCCTCCCATTCCGCCCCTCCCTGCCCCTTTCCCACCCCCTCGCACGCCCCTCACCTCCCACCTCCGTGCAACTGGTTTCCCCCCTATGGTGCCTCCCTTGCATCGCTCGCCCCGCTGCTCACCCTCTGCCCGCCCCTTTTCCGTGCCCTCAGCTGGCCCAGCCCCTGCCCGTTGCTGCCCCTCCCCTTGCCCCCTCAACTCCCCTGCCCCCCGTACACCCCAGTCCCATCCAACCGCCCCCACCCTCCCCCGGCTGCCCGTTTCCGCTCTCCACCCCCGCGACCGTGTGCGGCTTCCAACCGCCCAACGGTGGTGCGCACGGGGCGTTTCTTCGCACGGGCAAGCCTCCCCGGGGGGCCCCCACCCCGCTGAGTCGTTGTTTGGGCAAAAAAACGAAAATAAAAAAAAATCGGACGCGCTAAAATCGTCCTTTCTTTTTCCCGCTTGCCCCTCCCCCGGCACGTGCCGAGCAAGGGGCATAAATGGGTACAACACGAGGACTTCCCGGGAGGTCACCCAGCCCAGTACTGCTCTCGCCCACCGGCGCTTAGCTTCGGAGTTCTGATGGGATCCGGCGTAGTAGCCGAGGTATGATCGTACCACGTCAATCCCGTGCCCCGACCGGTACACACCCCTTGCCCGGGTCCCCCCTTCATAGTCACACCCCCTGCCTCCTCATGCCATCCGCTCCCCCCCGCCCCCACCCTCCGCGTGCCCGCTCCCTTGCCGCCTCTTTTGACCCTCCCTGCCCCCCTCGCCGTTTCCCACCGCCCGCCATTCGCTCCTCCCCGCCCGTGCGCTCCCCTCGTTTACCTTCTCCTCCCCCCTCCCCTCCTCTGCTGCACGCCTCTTCCTTCCCCTCGCCGACCCACTCCACTCCCTGCCCCTCCTCAATCCGCACCCTGCCCCTCGTATCTCGCCCCCCTATGCTTGGTTTCTCCCCTCCCTGCCCCTCGCCGCCTTTCTCCGCTCCCCACCTCCCCCCTCTCCCTGCTCCCCCACTCTCCCCCCCTTGCCCTTGGCTTCCTACCTCCCTGCCCCACCTTTCCCCCCTCCGTGTGCTCAGCTTCTCCCCTCCCTGCCCCTCCCTCCTCCCCGCCCTGCCCCTCATTTTCCGCCCCCCCACGCCCGGTTTCTCCCCTCCCCGCGCCTCCCTTTCTTTCTCCGTGCCTCTCCTTTGCTCCCTCCCTGCCCCCGCCTGCCCATGCCCCTGTCTTTGGCTTCTCCCCTCCCTGCCCCACGTTTCTTCCCTCCCTGCCCCCCCTCTGCCCCTCCCTTGTTTTCCCCTCACCCATTGCTTCTCCCCTCCCTGCCCTTGATTTCCCGCACCCCTGCCCTTGTTTCCTACCATCCATGCCCCTCGTTTCCCCCCTTTGTACGTTCAGCCTCTTCCCTCCCTGCCCCTCCCCTCCTCCCCCCCTGCCCTTTGCGTTCCCCTCGCTTACGCTCCCTTCTCCCCATCCCTGCTGCCCTCTTGCCACCATCAGCCCATCCGCACCACCAGCCCCCCTCCCACCCTTCTCTCCCCCCCTCCCTTTCCCTCTCTCTCTCTCTCTCTCTCTCTCTCTCTCTTTCTCACACACACACGCACACTCCCCTCCCCCACCCCCCACCCACGTCCTCCCATTCCGCCCCTCCCTGCCCCTTTCCCACCCCCTCGCACGCCCCTCACCTCCCACCTCCGTGCAACTGGTTTCCCCCCTATGGTGCCTCCCTTGCATCGCTCGCCCCTCTGCTCACCCTCTGCCCGCCCCTTTTCCGTGCCCTCAGCTGGCCCAGCCCCTGCCCGTTGCTGCCCCTCCCCTTGCCCCCTCAACTCCCCTGCCCCCCGTACACCCCAGTCCCATCCAACCGCCCCCACCCTCCCCCGGCTGCCCGTTTCCGCTCTCCACCCCCGCGACCGTGTGCGGCTTCCAACCGCCCAACGGTGGTGCGCACGGGGCGTTTCTTCGCACGGGCAAGCCTCCCCGGGGGGCCCCCACCCCGCTGAGTCGTTGTTTGGGCAAAAAAACGAAAATAAAAAAAAATCGGACGCGCTAAAATCGTCCTTTCTTTTTCCCGCTTGCCCCTCCCCCGGCACGTGCCGAGCAAGGGGCATAAATGGGTACAACACGAGGACTTCCCGGGAGGTCACCCAGCCCAGTACTGCTCTCGCCCACCGGCGCTTAGCTTCGGAGTTCTGATGGGATCCGGCGTAGTAGCCGAGGTATGATCGTACCACGTCAATCCCGTGCCCCGACCGGTACACACCCCTTGCCCGGGTCCCCCCTTCATAGTCACACCCCCTGCCTCCTCATGCCATCCGCTCCCCCCCGCCCCCACCCTCCGCGTGCCCGCTCCCTTGCCGCCTCTTTTGACCCTCCCTGCCCCCCTCGCCGTTTCCCACCGCCCGCCATTCGCTCCTCCCCGCCCGTGCGCTCCCCTCGTTTACCTTCTCCTCCCCCCTCCCCTCCTCTGCTGCACGCCTCTTCCTTCCCCTCGCCGACCCACTCCACTCCCTGCCCCTCCTCAATCCGCACCCTGCCCCTCGTATCTCGCCCCCCTATGCTTGGTTTCTCCCCTCCCTGCCCCTCGCCGCCTTTCTCCGCTCCCCACCTCCCCCCTCTCCCTGCTCCCCCACTCTCCCCCCCTTGCCCTTGGCTTCCTACCTCCCTGCCCCACCTTTCCCCCCTCCGTGTGCTCAGCTTCTCCCCTCCCTGCCCCTCCCTCCTCCCCGCCCTGCCCCTCATTTTCCGCCCCCCCACGCCCGGTTTCTCCCCTCCCCGCGCCTCCCTTTCTTTCTCCGTGCCTCTCCTTTGCTCCCTCCCTGCCCCCGCCTGCCCATGCCCCTGTCTTTGGCTTCTCCCCTCCCTGCCCCACGTTTCTTCCCTCCCTGCCCCCCCTCTGCCCCTCCCTTGTTTTCCCCTCACCCATTGCTTCTCCCCTCCCTGCCCTTGATTTCCCGCACCCCTGCCCTTGTTTCCTACCATCCATGCCCCTCGTTTCCCCCCTTTGTACGTTCAGCCTCTTCCCTCCCTGCCCCTCCCCTCCTCCCCCCCTGCCCTTTGCGTTCCCCTCGCTTACGCTCCCTTCTCCCCATCCCTGCTGCCCTCTTGCCACCATCAGCCCATCCGCACCACCAGCCCCCCTCCCACCCTTCTCTCCCCCCCTCCCTTTCCCTCTCTCTCTCTCTCTCTCTCTCTCTCTCTCTTTCTCACACACACACGCACACTCCCCTCCCCCACCCCCCACCCACGTCCTCCCATTCCGCCCCTCCCTGCCCCTTTCCCACCCCCTCGCACGCCCCTCACCTCCCACCTCCGTGCAACTGGTTTCCCCCCTATGGTGCCTCCCTTGCATCGCTCGCCCCGCTGCTCACCCTCTGCCCGCCCCTTTTCCGTGCCCTCAGCTGGCCCAGCCCCTGCCCGTTGCTGCCCCTCCCCTTGCCCCCTCAACTCCCCTGCCCCCCGTACACCCCAGTCCCATCCAACCGCCCCCACCCTCCCCCGGCTGCCCGTTTCCGCTCTCCACCCCCGCGACCGTGTGCGGCTTCCAACCGCCCAACGGTGGTGCGCACGGGGCGTTTCTTCGCACGGGCAAGCCTCCCCGGGGGGCCCCCACCCCGCTGAGTCGTTGTTTGGGCAAAAAAACGAAAATAAAAAAAATCGGACGCGCTAAAATCGTCCTTTCTTTTTCCCGCTTGCCCCTCCCCCGGCACGTGCCGAGCAAGGGGCATAAATGGGTACAACACGAGGACTTCCCGGGAGGTCACCCAGCCCAGTACTGCTCTCGCCCACCGGCGCTTAGCTTCGGAGTTCTGATGGGATCCGGCGTAGTAGCCGAGGTATGATCGTACCACGTCAATCCCGTGCCCCGACCGGTACACACCCCTTGCCCGGGTCCCCCCTTCATAGTCACACCCCCTGCCTCCTCATGCCATCCGCTCCCCCCCGCCCCCACCCTCCGCGTGCCCGCTCCCTTGCCGCCTCTTTTGACCCTCCCTGCCCCCCTCGCCGTTTCCCACCGCCCGCCATTCGCTCCTCCCCGCCCGTGCGCTCCCCTCGTTTACCTTCTCCTCCCCCCTCCCCTCCTCTGCTGCACGCCTCTTCCTTCCCCTCGCCGACCCACTCCACTCCCTGCCCCTCCTCAATCCGCACCCTGCCCCTCGTATCTCGCCCCCCTATGCTTGGTTTCTCCCCTCCCTGCCCCTCGCCGCCTTTCTCCGCTCCCCACCTCCCCCCTCTCCCTGCTCCCCCACTCTCCCCCCCTTGCCCTTGGCTTCCTACCTCCCTGCCCCACCTTTCCCCCCTCCGTGTGCTCAGCTTCTCCCCTCCCTGCCCCTCCCTCCTCCCCGCCCTGCCCCTCATTTTCCGCCCCCCCACGCCCGGTTTCTCCCCTCCCCGCGCCTCCCTTTCTTTCTCCGTGCCTCTCCTTTGCTCCCTCCCTGCCCCCGCCTGCCCATGCCCCTGTCTTTGGCTTCTCCCCTCCCTGCCCCACGTTTCTTCCCTCCCTGCCCCCCCTCTGCCCCTCCCTTGTTTTCCCCTCACCCATTGCTTCTCCCCTCCCTGCCCTTGATTTCCCGCACCCCTGCCCTTGTTTCCTACCATCCATGCCCCTCGTTTCCCCCCTTTGTACGTTCAGCCTCTTCCCTCCCTGCCCCTCCCCTCCTCCCCCCCTGCCCTTTGCGTTCCCCTCGCTACGCTCCCTTCTCCCCATCCCTGCTGCCCTCTTGCCACCATCAGCCCATCCGCACCACCAGCCCCCCTCCCACCCTTCTCTCCCCCCCTCCCTTTCCCTCTCTCTCTCTCTCTCTCTCTCTCTCTCTTTCTCACACACACACGCACACTCCCCTCCCCCACCCCCCACCCACGTCCTCCCATTCCGCCCCTCCCTGCCCCTTTCCCACCCCCTCGCACGCCCCTCACCTCCCACCTCCGTGCAACTGGTTTCCCCCCTATGGTGCCTCCCTTGCATCGCTCGCCCCGCTGCTCACCCTCTGCCCGCCCCTTTTCCGTGCCCTCAGCTGGCCCAGCCCCTGCCCGTTGCTGCCCCTCCCCTTGCCCCCTCAACTCCCCTGCCCCCCGTACACCCCAGTCCCATCCAACCGCCCCCACCCTCCCCCGGCTGCCCGTTTCCGCTCTCCACCCCCGCGACCGTGTGCGGCTTCCAACCGCCCAACGGTGGTGCGCACGGGGCGTTTCTTCGCACGGGCAAGCCTCCCCGGGGGGCCCCCACCCCGCTGAGTCGTTGTTTGGGCAAAAAAACGAAAATAAAAAAAATCGGACGCGCTAAAATCGTCCTTTCTTTTTCCCGCTTGCCCCTCCCCCGGCACGTGCCGAGCAAGGGGCATAAATGGGTACAACACGAGGACTTCCCGGGAGGTCACCCAGCCCAGTACTGCTCTCGCCCACCGGCGCTTAGCTTCGGAGTTCTGATGGGATCCGGCGTAGTAGCCGAGGTATGATCGTACCACGTCAATCCCGTGCCCCGACCGGTACACACCCCTTGCCCGGGTCCCCCCTTCATAGTCACACCCCCTGCCTCCTCATGCCATCCGCTCCCCCCCGCCCCCACCCTCCGCGTGCCCGCTCCCTTGCCGCCTCTTTTGACCCTCCCTGCCCCCCTCGCCGTTTCCCACCGCCCGCCATTCGCTCCTCCCCGCCCGTGCGCTCCCCTCGTTTACCTTCTCCTCCCCCCTCCCCTCCTCTGCTGCACGCCTCTTCCTTCCCCTCGCCGACCCACTCCACTCCCTGCCCCTCCTCAATCCGCACCCTGCCCCTCGTATCTCGCCCCCCTATGCTTGGTTTCTCCCCTCCCTGCCCCTCGCCGCCTTTCTCCGCTCCCCACCTCCCCCCTCTCCCTGCTCCCCCACTCTCCCCCCCTTGCCCTTGGCTTCCTACCTCCCTGCCCCACCTTTCCCCCCTCCGTGTGCTCAGCTTCTCCCCTCCCTGCCCCTCCCTCCTCCCCGCCCTGCCCCTCATTTTCCGCCCCCCCACGCCCGGTTTCTCCCCTCCCCGCGCCTCCCTTTCTTTCTCCGTGCCTCTCCTTTGCTCCCTCCCTGCCCCCGCCTGCCCATGCCCCTGTCTTTGGCTTCTCCCCTCCCTGCCCCACGTTTCTTCCCTCCCTGCCCCCCCTCTGCCCCTCCCTTGTTTTCCCCTCACCCATTGCTTCTCCCCTCCCTGCCCTTGATTTCCCGCACCCCTGCCCTTGTTTCCTACCATCCATGCCCCTCGTTTCCCCCCTTTGTACGTTCAGCCTCTTCCCTCCCTGCCCCTCCCCTCCTCCCCCCCTGCCCTTTGCGTTCCCCTCGCTTACGCTCCCTTCTCCCCATCCCTGCTGCCCTCTTGCCACCATCAGCCCATCCGCACCACCAGCCCCCCTCCCACCCTTCTCTCCCCCCCTCCCTTTCCCTCTCTCTCTCTCTCTCTCTCTCTCTCTCTCTTTCTCACACACACACGCACACTCCCCTCCCCCACCCCCCACCCACGTCCTCCCATTCCGCCCCTCCCTGCCCCTTTCCCACCCCCTCGCACGCCCCTCACCTCCCACCTCCGTGCAACTGGTTTCCCCCCTATGGTGCCTCCCTTGCATCGCTCGCCCCTCTGCTCACCCTCTGCCCGCCCCTTTTCCGTGCCCTCAGCTGGCCCAGCCCCTGCCCGTTGCTGCCCCTCCCCTTGCCCCCTCAACTCCCCTGCCCCCCGTACACCCCAGTCCCATCCAACCGCCCCCACCCTCCCCCGGCTGCCCGTTTCCGCTCTCCACCCCCGCGACCGTGTGCGGCTTCCAACCGCCCAACGGTGGTGCGCACGGGGCGTTTCTTCGCACGGGCAAGCCTCCCCGGGGGGCCCCCACCCCGCTGAGTCGTTGTTTGGGCAAAAAAACGAAAATAAAAAAAAATCGGACGCGCTAAAATCGTCCTTTCTTTTTCCCGCTTGCCCCTCCCCCGGCACGTGCCGAGCAAGGGGCATAAATGGGTACAACACGAGGACTTCCCGGGAGGTCACCCAGCCCAGTACTGCTCTCGCCCACCGGCGCTTAGCTTCGGAGTTCTGATGGGATCCGGCGTAGTAGCCGAGGTATGATCGTACCACGTCAATCCCGTGCCCCGACCGGTACACACCCCTTGCCCGGGTCCCCCCTTCATAGTCACACCCCCTGCCTCCTCATGCCATCCGCTCCCCCCCGCCCCCACCCTCCGCGTGCCCGCTCCCTTGCCGCCTCTTTTGACCCTCCCTGCCCCCCTCGCCGTTTCCCACCGCCCGCCATTCGCTCCTCCCCGCCCGTGCGCTCCCCTCGTTTACCTTCTCCTCCCCCCTTCCCCTCCTCTGCTGCACGCCTCTTCCTTCCCCTCGCCGACCCACTCCACTCCCTGCCCCTCCTCAATCCGCACCCTGCCCCTCGTATCTCGCCCCCCTATGCTTGGTTTCTCCCCTCCCTGCCCCTCGCCGCCTTTCTCCGCTCCCCACCTCCCCCCTCTCCCTGCTCCCCCACTCTCCCCCCCTTGCCCTTGGCTTCCTACCTCCCTGCCCCACCTTTCCCCCCTCCGTGTGCTCAGCTTCTCCCCTCCCTGCCCCTCCCTCCTCCCCGCCCTGCCCCTCATTTTCCGCCCCCCCACGCCCGGTTTCTCCCCTCCCCGCGCCTCCCTTTCTTTCTCCGTGCCTCTCCTTTGCTCCCTCCCTGCCCCCGCCTGCCCATGCCCCTGTCTTTGGCTTCTCCCCTCCCTGCCCCACGTTTCTTCCCTCCCTGCCCCCCCTCTGCCCCTCCCTTGTTTTCCCCTCACCCATTGCTTCTCCCCTCCCTGCCCTTGATTTCCCGCACCCCTGCCCTTGTTTCCTACCATCCATGCCCCTCGTTTCCCCCCTTTGTACGTTCAGCCTCTTCCCTCCCTGCCCCTCCCCTCCTCCCCCCCTGCCCTTTGCGTTCCCCTCGCTACGCTCCCTTCTCCCCATCCCTGCTGCCCTCTTGCCACCATCAGCCCATCCGCACCACCAGCCCCCCTCCCACCCTTCTCTCCCCCCCTCCCTTTCCCTCTCTCTCTCTCTCTCTCTCTCTCTCTCTCTCTCTTTCTCACACACACACGCACACTCCCCTCCCCCACCCCCCACCCACGTCCTCCCATTCCGCCCCTCCCTGCCCCTTTCCCACCCCCTCGCACGCCCCTCACCTCCCACCTCCGTGCAACTGGTTTCCCCCCTATGGTGCCTCCCTTGCATCGCTCGCCCCGCTGCTCACCCTCTGCCCGCCCCTTTTCCGTGCCCTCAGCTGGCCCAGCCCCTGCCCGTTGCTGCCCCTCCCCTTGCCCCCTCAACTCCCCTGCCCCCCGTACACCCCAGTCCCATCCAACCGCCCCCACCCTCCCCCGGCTGCCCGTTTCCGCTCTCCACCCCCGCGACCGTGTGCGGCTTCCAACCGCCCAACGGTGGTGCGCACGGGGCGTTTCTTCGCACGGGCAAGCCTCCCCGGGGGGCCCCCACCCCGCTGAGTCGTTGTTTGGGCAAAAAAACGAAAATAAATAAAAAAATCGGACGCGCTAAAATCGTCCTTTCTTTTTCCCGCTTGCCCCTCCCCCGGCACGTGCCGAGCAAGGGGCATAAATGGGTACAACACGAGGACTTCCCGGGAGGTCACCCAGCCCAGTACTGCTCTCGCCCACCGGCGCTTAGCTTCGGAGTTCTGATGGGATCCGGCGTAGTAGCCGAGGTATGATCGTACCACGTCAATCCCGTGCCCCGACCGGTACACACCCCTTGCCCGGGTCCCCCCTTCATAGTCACACCCCCTGCCTCCTCATGCCATCCGCTCCCCCCCGCCCCCACCCTCCGCGTGCCCGCTCCCTTGCCGCCTCTTTTGACCCTCCCTGCCCCCCTCGCCGTTTCCCACCGCCCGCCATTCGCTCCTCCCCGCCCGTGCGCTCCCCTCGTTTACCTTCTCCTCCCCCCTCCCCTCCTCTGCTGCACGCCTCTTCCTTCCCCTCGCCGACCCACTCCACTCCCTGCCCCTCCTCAATCCGCACCCTGCCCCTCGTATCTCGCCCCCCTATGCTTGGTTTCTCCCCTCCCTGCCCCTCGCCGCCTTTCTCCGCTCCCCACCTCCCCCCTCTCCCTGCTCCCCCACTCTCCCCCCCTTGCCCTTGGCTTCCTACCTCCCTGCCCCACCTTTCCCCCCTCCGTGTGCTCAGCTTCTCCCCTCCCTGCCCCTCCCTCCTCCCCGCCCTGCCCCTCATTTTCCGCCCCCCCACGCCCGGTTTCTCCCCTCCCCGCGCCTCCCTTTCTTTCTCCGTGCCTCTCCTTTGCTCCCTCCCTGCCCCCGCCTGCCCATGCCCCTGTCTTTGGCTTCTCCCCTCCCTGCCCCACGTTTCTTCCCTCCCTGCCCCCCCTCTGCCCCTCCCTTGTTTTCCCCTCACCCATTGCTTCTCCCCTCCCTGCCCTTGATTTCCCGCACCCCTGCCCTTGTTTCCTACCATCCATGCCCCTCGTTTCCCCCCTTTGTACGTTCAGCCTCTTCCCTCCCTGCCCCTCCCCTCCTCCCCCCCTGCCCTTTGCGTTCCCCTCGCTTACGCTCCCTTCTCCCCATCCCTGCTGCCCTCTTGCCACCATCAGCCCATCCGCACCACCAGCCCCCCTCCCACCCTTCTCTCCCCCCCTCCCTTTCCCTCTCTCTCTCTCTCTCTCTCTCTCTCTCTCTCTTTCTCACACACACACGCACACTCCCCTCCCCCACCCCCCACCCACGTCCTCCCATTCCGCCCCTCCCTGCCCCTTTCCCACCCCCTCGCACGCCCCTCACCTCCCACCTCCGTGCAACTGGTTTCCCCCCTATGGTGCCTCCCTTGCATCGCTCGCCCCGCTGCTCACCCTCTGCCCGCCCCTTTTCCGTGCCCTCAGCTGGCCCAGCCCCTGCCCGTTGCTGCCCCTCCCCTTGCCCCCTCAACTCCCCTGCCCCCCGTACACCCCAGTCCCATCCAACCGCCCCCACCCTCCCCCGGCTGCCCGTTTCCGCTCTCCACCCCCGCGACCGTGTGCGGCTTCCAACCGCCCAACGGTGGTGCGCACGGGGCGTTTCTTCGCACGGGCAAGCCTCCCCGGGGGGCCCCCACCCCGCTGAGTCGTTGTTTGGGCAAAAAAACGAAAATAAAAAAAACGGACGCGCTAAAATCGTCCTTTCTTTTTCCCGCTTGCCCCTCCCCCGGCACGTGCCGAGCAAGGGGCATAAATGGGTACAACACGAGGACTTCCCGGGAGGTCACCCAGCCCAGTACTGCTCTCGCCCACCGGCGCTTAGCTTCGGAGTTCTGATGGGATCCGGCGTAGTAGCCGAGGTATGATCGTACCACGTCAATCCCGTGCCCCGACCGGTACACACCCCTTGCCCGGGTCCCCCCTTCATAGTCACACCCCCTGCCTCCTCATGCCATCCGCTCCCCCCCGCCCCCACCCTCCGCGTGCCCGCTCCCTTGCCGCCTCTTTTGACCCTCCCTGCCCCCCTCGCCGTTTCCCACCGCCCGCCATTCGCTCCTCCCCGCCCGTGCGCTCCCCTCGTTTACCTTCTCCTCCCCCCTTCCCTCCTCTGCTGCACGCCTCTTCCTTCCCCTCGCCGACCCACTCCACTCCCTGCCCCTCCTCAATCCGCACCCTGCCCCTCGTATCTCGCCCCCCTATGCTTGGTTTCTCCCCTCCCTGCCCCTCGCCGCCTTTCTCCGCTCCCCACCTCCCCCCTCTCCCTGCTCCCCCACTCTCCCCCCCTTGCCCTTGGCTTCCTACCTCCCTGCCCCACCTTTCCCCCCTCCGTGTGCTCAGCTTCTCCCCTCCCTGCCCCTCCCTCCTCCCCGCCCTGCCCCTCATTTTCCGCCCCCCCACGCCCGGTTTCTCCCCTCCCCGCGCCTCCCTTTCTTTCTCCGTGCCTCTCCTTTGCTCCCTCCCTGCCCCCGCCTGCCCATGCCCCTGTCTTTGGCTTCTCCCCTCCCTGCCCCACGTTTCTTCCCTCCCTGCCCCCCCTCTGCCCCTCCCTTGTTTTCCCCTCACCCATTGCTTCTCCCCTCCCTGCCCTTGATTTCCCGCACCCCTGCCCTTGTTTCCTACCATCCATGCCCCTCGTTTCCCCCCTTTGTACGTTCAGCCTCTTCCCTCCCTGCCCCTCCCCTCCTCCCCCCCTGCCCTTTGCGTTCCCCTCGCTACGCTCCCTTCTCCCCATCCCTGCTGCCCTCTTGCCACCATCAGCCCATCCGCACCACCAGCCCCCCTCCCACCCTTCTCTCCCCCCCTCCCTTTCCCTCTCTCTCTCTCTCTCTCTCTTTCTCACACACACACGCACACTCCCCTCCCCCACCCCCCACCCACGTCCTCCCATTCCGCCCCTCCCTGCCCCTTTCCCACCCCCTCGCACGCCCCTCACCTCCCACCTCCGTGCAACTGGTTTCCCCCCTATGGTGCCTCCCTTGCATCGCTCGCCCCTCTGCTCACCCTCTGCCCGCCCCTTTTCCGTGCCCTCAGCTGGCCCAGCCCCTGCCCGTTGCTGCCCCTCCCGTTGCCCGCTCAACTCCCCTGCTCCCCGTACACCCCAGTCCCATCCAACCGCCCCCACCCTCCCCCGGCTGCCCGTTTCCGCTCTCCACCCCCGCGACCGTGTGCGGCTTCCAACCGCCCAACGGTGGTGCGCACGGGGCGTTTCTTCGCACGGGCAAGCCTCCCCGGGGGGCCCCCACCCCGCTGAGTCGTTGTTTGGGCAAAAAAACGAAAATAAAAAAAAATCGGACGCGCTAAAATCGTCCTTTCTTTTTCCCGCTTGCCCCTCCCCCGGCACGTGCCGAGCAAGGGGCATAAATGGGTACAACACGAGGACTTCCCGGGAGGTCACCCAGCCCAGTACTGCTCTCGCCCACCGGCGCTTAGCTTCGGAGTTCTGATGGGATCCGGCGTAGTAGCCGAGGTATGATCGTACCACGTCAATCCCGTGCCCCGACCGGTACACACCCCTTGCCCGGGTCCCCCCTTCATAGTCACACCCCCTGCCTCCTCATGCCATCCGCTCCCCCCCGCCCCCACCCTCCGCGTGCCCGCTCCCTTGCCGCCTCTTTTGACCCTCCCTGCCCCCCTCGCCGTTTCCCACCGCCCGCCATTCGCTCCTCCCCGCCCGTGCGCTCCCCTCGTTTACCTTCTCCTCCCCCCTTCCCTCCTCTGCTGCACGCCTCTTCCTTCCCCTCGCCGACCCACTCCACTCCCTGCCCCTCCTCAATCCGCACCCTGCCCCTCGTAATCTCGCCCCCCTATGCTTGGTTTCTCCCCTCCCTGCCCCTCGCCGCCTTTCTCCGCTCCCCACCTCCCCCCTCTCCCTGCTCCCCCACTCTCCCCCCCTTGCCCTTGGCTTCCTACCTCCCCTGCCCCACCTTTCCCCCCTCCGTGTGCTCAGCTTCTCCCCTCCCTGCCCCTCCCTCCTCCCCGCCCTGCCCCTCATTTTCCCCCCCCCACGCCCGGTTTCTCCCCCCCCCGCGCCTCCCTTTCTTTCTCCGTGCCTCTCCTTTGCTCCCCCCCTGCCCCCGCCTGCCCATGCCCCTGTCTTTGGCTTCTCCCCTCCCTGCCCCACGTTTCTTCCCTCCCTGCCCCCCCTCTGCCCCTCCCTTGTTTTCCCCTCACCCATTGCTTCTCCCCTCCCTGCCCTTGATTTCCCGCACCCCTGCCCTTGTTTCCTACCATCCATGCCCCTCGTTTCCCCCCTTTGTACGTTCAGCCTCTTCCCTCCCTGCCCCTCCCCTCCTCCCCCCCTGCCCTTTGCGTTCCCCTCGCTTACGCTCCCTTCTCCCCATCCCTGCTGCCCTCTTGCCACCATCAGCCCATCCGCACCACCAGCCCCCCTCCCACCCTTCTCTCCCCCCCTCCCCTTTCCCTCTCTCTCTCTCTCT